TGTATATTGATATTTTAACAGTAAAGCGCTGGTTCTTTAAATGTTCGACAACGTGGTTAATTTTCGAGGAGTGGTTTCGGCAAAAGTTTGTAGACCACACCCTCCTCGGTGAAGCTATAATTCCCTTGTCCTAAAGGAACTCCGGAATCAAGTAGAAGACAGGTTCATGTAGTCGCAGTTCGACATAAAAAATGAATCAATCCGAATATAAATCTCCAGGAAAGCAATGTACCACCAATTTGCAGTTGGTAAGTTTTGAACAGAATGGTTCGTATTTAGACCAGGTTATTTTTGGAAGAATTGATAGAACAATGCTAGTTTACCGTTTGTTGTCTCGGAAATGTTAATGCTCAGTTTAGGAACACAGTAAGGAAATTTGTAGGTACTAAGAAACAACCGTCTTTTCCCCTTGTTGTACGGAGACGTCTCGTACTACAATAACTTTCAAAACTTAACATGAAAACATACTTAACATACGTTTTTTTTTCCCGGTTTCACTAACCAGTTTTTACAAGTTAGAAAAATAAGGTTTTATATGTGTGAACAGCGCTCGCGTAAAGAAATGAAAGTGTATCGCTGGTAAGAGACGTCGCACTGTGACTTTTCTCTTTTTTGCGTCATTCATCAAATTACAGGGTATGTATGTCGTAGTAACTAGTGCGACTTTGCAATGTATGCTGCTCGTCTCGCAGTCTCAGTTTGTGGGACTCCCCTCGCATTTGTTTTTTAAATTGGGCCCTCTGAGGTGATTAATAGCATAAATTGCTTTACTGATTTAGTACGTGGAGAAATTGTGTTGGAAGGCGCTTTGCATTATATGTATTAGTACTTTTGATATTTGCATACTCTTACAGTACAAGTGCGTTTTTTTTATATTGACCCGATTTGTACCCTAATAAAACTGGGCCGTGTTTCAGCAGCTCCCAAGTGCAAGGGGAATATGTTGCATAACCTATGGTTTACCGAGACAACCTAAAGAAGAACAGAACAAATAAGAATGTTGAGATGACTAAGAGCTCGAGCTCCTATCCAATAATTAACTCGGGTTGAATTACATACAGGTAACTAAATATACCCACCTTAGTTTTACATATTATTCTTTCCCTGGAATTTTGTCAGTAAACGAATGCATGTATAAGTGTATGAGAGAGACTTGAATGTAAATCAATTTAATACTTTGGTACTACACAGAATAGATTTTTGTTTCAGATTGTCCAAGTTGGTCTTGAATTGGATAAAAAAAAAAACAAATACATGCTTTTACCAGCCCCGGTGTGTAGAAGGGGCACCTGTCCTTATTTTGTTTTCCTCTTTCTTCTGGATTCCCAGCATTCACCCGTTGTGCAGCTCAACGTTGGTGGCCGGCTGTACAGCACATCGCTGGGCACCCTGCGGAGGTTCCCCAGCTCGAAGCTGGCCGAGATGTTTAACGGGCAGCCCAAGCTCAGGACGGACGCCGAGGGACGCTACTTCATTGACCGCGATGGGACGCACTTCAGACACGTCCTGGAGTTCCTCCGCACCCAGCGGCTGCCCACCGAGAACGTGCCGGAAGTCTACAAGGAAGCCCTCTTCTACGACATCGAGCCCTTAGCCAAGCAGCTGGAGGACTCGCCGCAGATATTTGGGGAGGTGGTGGGCAGGCAGCAGTTCCTGGCCAGGGTGCCCAACTACCGGGAGAACCTGGAGGTGATCATCAGGATAGCGCGGGCGGAGGCCATGGCCGCTCGCCACTCCAGCGTCATCGTGAGTGTCTTGAGGACGGAGGAGGACTCTGCGCGGTACAACGACGCCATCAACAGCCTGGATGCCGATAAAGAATCGGTGGTGAGGTTCGGCCCTTGGAAAGCATCGCCTACCGCCATGGACCTGCTGGACTGTGTCAAAATGGACATCGAGGCCAAAGGCTACAAGATCAGTTACCAGCAGCACGTTGCGGACAAGGGATTCCGTTTCAAAAGCTACGACTTCTTCTACAAATTCATATTCACTTGGTGGTAGTGCCAGCTAACGGTACACTCAATATTAGCCTCTTGATGAATTCTTGGCACCTGAGTTGCTTTTGCAGATCACCTTGTTGGTCTGGCCTTCGACATTTTCTGTTCAGGTTAAGCCTGGATAGTGGCTGAAATTTAACTTGCCCCTGGACGTCCAGATCAGCATTTTAGCAGAAAAGGAAAAAGCAAAAACAAGACTGAGTAACAAGGAGAAATTTGTCAACTCATATTTTTGCATTTCTTTATTGGTTCATCATGTGATGTTACCAAAAAATCAATTTGCTTAGTCCATGGATTTCAACATTTGGATGATTGACAGCTTACTTTTCCCTCTTCTTTGACTTATCTCCTACTCCGAGTTCTGGACAACCTCTTCTTTTTGCAGGGAGTTGTTTTAAAGAAGTAGTTTCTATAGAAGGGAACAAATGACTTTTTTTCTATTGACTGTGATTGTTATCTATATGATTGTTGTAGAGCTATATTATGTTAATGTTCTATGTTTAATCAGTGACAAATTATTAATTGTGAAATGAGTGTATATAAACATAAAGACTAGATATTTTTTTACAAGATTCTTTTCTTTGTCCTTTGAATAAAATCAACAGAAACTCTTAGTCAGTTGCCACTTGTCTTTATCTGGTAAGTTGTAATGGTCATTTTTTTTTTTTTAATGGAGTACAATAAATGTGTTCAGAAAGAGTACGAAAATCGATCTGTTGCCTTGAACAGAAAATGACCCGGGTAGCTTAGCGCCTGTACAGAATGCATTTGCATTTTAATTCAAACCAGGATGTCATAAATTGGGTCAATTTTGACACCCCCCATTGGTGAAGAGTCTATATCCGTGCCTCTGATAGATGTCACAACCACTCACCGCTCAAGATGACATGACTTAAGGGAATTGCTCTCTTGTACTATACATCTCTGGCCGCTTGGCAGAAAAAAAGACTAATGTGACCACCATAGCCCAACCTGCCACTGAACCAACTTCATCACTTCAAGCCATTGCCAGACTGAGAGAGACTACGTCAGCAGCCATATCACCCTGCAACTCACTAAGGTTGCTGCTGGAAGAGGTGTTAGTGGGGCCAGCAGGGGGCGCTCACCCTGCGGTCCATGTGGGTCCTAATGCCCCAGTATAGTGACGGGGACACTATACTGTAAACAGGCGCCGTCCTTCGGATGAGACATAAAACCGAGGTCCTGACTCCCTGTGGTCATTAAAAATCCCAGGGTGTTTCTCAAAAAGAATAGGGTTGTAACCCCGGCGTCCTGGCCAAATTTCCCATTGGCCCTTACCAATCATGGTAATAATCCTCCTAATAATCCCCCTCTATGAATTGACTACATTACTCTGCTCTCCTCCCCACTGATAGCTGATGTGTGGTGAGCGTTCTGGCGCACTATGGCTGCCGTCGCATCATCCAGGTGGATGCTGCACATTGGTGGTGGTGGTGGAGGGGATCCCCATTACCTGTACAGCGCTTTGAGTGGAGTGTCCAGAACAGCGCTATATAAGTGTAAGCAATTATTATAATTATTATTACATGTAAAACTGTTTCGACCCACAACAAGTGAGGTTTTGGATGAGATCCCAGTTGTAAATTTCACCTTATCAGCTGAGCTTTTGTCTACTCCGCTGAATATTCAGAGCTACAACCATGAGTGAGCAGACTTCCAACTTTGTCCCCATCTATGTCTCGACTTTTGTCTGAGCCATGTTTTGAGAGTCCCTGGAAATTCCTGGAAAGTCAACTGCAGAGTCCAGTGAAGGATGGAATCTTTTCCTTTTCCTGCGGCGACAGGATAACCTTGGGACTGAGCATTTTGTTTCAAAATCTCATTGTGATAAGCACATGGCTTGCATCTAATTTGAAGGACTGTAGATTCCATATAGATTCCATGTTCACATTGTAACACTTGAGAATTAACCTATTATTCCAAACTAGTATGCTTAAGGAAGATTAATTCACAACAGTAATTATTTACTTTTCTTTTGAAAGTATGGATGCTGCTTATGAGTTTGACTACTGAGTTATATGATTTTTACCTTTGTTGCTGTTCTCTTTTGTATTGTCTGAATGCTTGATCAGACTTTTGTATGAGTCTTGGTAAATTAATTCTCATATATAGTGATTTTTGTACTGGATTATTTTGTACATTTTATTGTATTAATAAAACAATTGTGTATTATATTCTTTCAATTCTGACACCATTAGTTGTGATTGATTCCTAGTTGACATTAAGTACTGTCTGACTTCTTTTTCAGTTTCTTATTATTTCAGTAAATTCAAACCATGGTCACCACACAGTAGAATACATTTGTTCATGCACTTTATGCTGTACCATACGGTGAAAATGTCTTATCTACTCATGGCCTACTTGGAAGTTTTTGCCATCTGTGTTGTGCAAAACAAGACTCAAAAAGATCCCCACTTTTCCAGCAGAGGAGGTTTATCATGAATAAATAAAAGCATGTCAATACTGAACAAATGTGACGCGTGTCAACATACAGTTTCCTAAATCCCAAATCAATGTCAAATCCTAATTGAAAGATGTAAGGTCTATTGTTTTTATGTATAATAATTAAAATGTTACTTTTATACCAAAGTATGTCATAAACACTGTGTCCTCTTTATTTAACCAGGAAAGGAAGTCAGACATGTCACCCAGTAGCACCACCATAAAAATATATACACAGGTTACAGTGTTGTTGGTTCCCCTTACCCATAGCTATTCAATATTTAAGATTTTTTAGTCCTTTTTACATTTACACAATATTACATGTCATTTTAAGATTTTGTTTATTGCATTACTTTGTGTACATCTGTACTGCTTTAAGATGTATTTATAAGTAATTACATTTTCAGAGATTTTACAGTTAATATTTTAAGCATTTTTTGGTGCCATTTCCTTATATAGTAAAAAGGAATAGGCATGTGTCATGGAAATATACCTATCAAGGAAGCCACAATAGAGAGTTCTCACCTGAGTAAGGTCTTTATTTCAGTACTGCAATATTGGGAGCCCTGCTGTCACTCTGCAGAGTGCATCAGAGACTCAACTTGCTACAAGCAGCACAGGCTTTTTATAAAGATGTTATGCAGTGAAAAATACAGCACTTAGTCCCCATCTAATACTTCCCCTTTTACTTAGGACAAGAAGGATTACAACACAGAAACGAAAGAAGAAGCGCCAATACATATTTTGCAAAGTTTAGCAATTGCACTCTGCTCATTTGGTAATCTAGACAGTACATCCTGTCCTGACAAACCTGTCTGCTGACAACATGCACGCAGATTTCCATTTCACATGAAAGACAAAAAAAGTGATGATTTGATTGTAAACTTGAAATCTGTTGGAAAATAGGGGCTCCCTTATACATGTTCGCAAAAAATTCTTGAAAGACCAAAATCACTGCAATCCACAACTGTTGTATCCTTTAAGTATTTTTATCTATAAAACTGCCTGTTAGACCACTGGACAGGAACAACTACCCTATGTTATATCATTGTTGTGCTGCGAAAACTGATCTTCACACATGTCGTTTCGAATTGTTACATCTTTTATAGTAGCATAATCTAATATACGTTTGAAAAAAAGCCTGATTTTATTTTAAAAGACAACATATGTTCGGCCTTTTTTTCCCCTGTGATTGCACTTAAATCAAGCATACAGTAAGCCTTATTGAACTACACTACGGCGACAAAAGTAGGACAGTCTTGTTTGACGCTCGATGGTACAGCAAAACGCGTTTGATTACAGTTTGACCACGATATCTTGTCTTTAAACAATGGCAGCGCATTTAAAGAAACGAGTTTATGAAGAATTCTCAAAAGTTGTCCAGGTAAGCAGATCTAACAGACTATTAAAGAAAAACAAATGTGTCTAGAACGTCATATTTAAATAGTTTGTAGTACTCTGCGAGCAAACACGGCTGCGTGCAAAAATGCTCAATGCGATCATAAGGCTTCACAGACGGTTAGAAGTTACAGGAAAATGTCCCGAAAGCCTTCGGCCTGTACCGATGAAGCAAATTCCTGTGGATTAAAATAGGCTTATGTTCCTTGTATATCCACGATTTTATCACCGAGTTATTTAAAACTCATCATTTATTTAACATCCGTATTTTTTTCATTGTTTTGCCATTCAATTATATACGATTAAACTTGCACGTACCAATTCAAAGTAATAATAAAAGTTGAAGTTGGCATTGTGCACGCTTTTTAAATTGTTGATTTTAAATGTAATTTTTTAAAGTAACCACCACAGTTTATATTTTTGTCTCTAAACAAAGAAAAGAGATCGTCAAAACATCTTATTTTACCAGAATGCGTTAACTTTGTTTTAAACTTTAGAATGGATATTGTGGCGTCAGTGTCGTGTTTAAATGTATTAGCTAATGTCCTTACACCCCCTTATTTTTATTCATATTCATTGAAGAGATTTTGACCTGCTTTATAGTTATGCAGCAGTGTTCTACAGCCGTGCGACGACGTTAAGTCTTAAAGCAATTGCAAAAGAAAAAATCTTCAGTTATTCTGTTTGCAGAATTAAATAATAAAAATCGGGGTTTGAAGGTCTTTTTTCAACAAATGGGGCTGCCATAAACAAATGACGGATAAAATCAATGGTTTCAGCAACACCAGCAGGAAGAGATCCCAGCTAAGAAGTTAAGGTTGACCAAACCCAGCAAGTCGGCTGCCCTCCATATTGACCTGTGCAAGGCCAGCAGCCCCACCGAAGCGCTGCAGTACCTCCTTCAGTTCGCCCGCCAGCCCGTGGAGGCCGAAAGCGTGGAGGGGGTGGTACGCATCCTCCTGGAATATTACTACAAGGTATTGTCAAAACAGGGAAGACCCTGGGCTCACGCATGCCTCTGTATCCTTCGATTAGGACTGATTGTTTTGCAGTAGGCATTTCATCCACACTATCCCCCGGACTGTACGAGAGACAAATTCTTTGACTCTCTTCAATTCCAAAAACTCAAAACTCACCTTTTTACCACAGCTTGTGCCTGATTGCCCTACGTTCTGTCTGTATAAACATGTATGCTCTTGTTTATTTTTTTTTCTTTTACCATTTATTATACTTTTTTTGTCTTTTTCTTTATCACTCTGCACAGCATCCTTGGCTTTTGGAGAGGTGCTTTTTAAACATTAATAATCGTTTCTTATTATTTTTAGTAGTATTTGACTGCAGTAATTATTGATCATGAATAGAACAGGTAATGCATGAGGGTTTAAATAGACTGTTCTTAAATCAATAGATTCTTGTGATCAGCAGGAATGATTAACTGGAGGAACAGAGCACGATCCCTTTTTGTTAAGGAATAATACAAACCATACTATCAAGTGTTCAAAAGTGTTCTTTTTGCCGTTCAATTTTCAGTCGGTAACTGAGAGTTTGCCTTTTGCTCTGAAGGAAACGGACAGCTCAGTACGACTGAAGATTGCCTCTCTTCTTGGGTTGCTGTCCAGAACTCAAGGCTTTTCTCCAGACTGCATAGTGGATGATGCCATTAATACTCTGAACAATGAAAGTGAGTCATGTAATGTTTTTCAAAGGATCATTTCTATGCCGGGCTGGACACTTTACTGAGGTTGTGGAACATGTTTCTGAAGTGCTTGTTCATATTTAGACTTTACTTGCTTTTAACTATGACATTTTGTGTTATTGAATGCAGAATCACACCAGGTTCTTGCACAATTGCTGGACACACTTCTGGTCATTGGTTCACAGCTTCCAGAGAGCCAGAGTCTCAGACTTAGATTAGTTGAAGTGGCCTGCAAGGTAAGAAGTGAGCCAGTATTATTTGCTTTTGTTCCTGCATGACAGTATGCTTTTAATGATATAAACATTTAGAATTATATTATTATTTTAACTTTGATTTTGAGAGGTCCCTTAGTGTTTATTGTGGAGTTTTTACATAAACAGTGAATTGATTTGAGTGCAAATGTGCAGCACAACACCTTGAATAAGGGCTAAATATTGTATTATATTACTCATTATCTGAGGAGTGGTTACACCACTGGGACCCTAAGTTCGGTTCTGGACCTGGGATGCTAAACTCTTATATGGAGTTTGTAAGTTCTTTCCACGTTCGCGTTAGTTTCCTCCCTAAGTCCGAAAACATATCGATTTGTTAATTGGCTTCTGAGAAAATGGTCTCTGGTGTGTGTGTCTGCCCTGCAATGGACTGGCATCCCATCCAGGGTGTACCCTGCCATATGCCTGTTGCTGTCTGGGATAGTCTTCTACTCCCCTGCAACCCTGAATTGGAAGAAGCTGTTGAAAATGGTTGAATTAATCACTACAGGCGTCTGCTATAACTCGATAGATGCGTTCCTGTAAAACCTTGCGTTATGCAAGATCGCTCAATAAAAATAACAGGGCTTATGGGGAAAAATAGGGTTGGGGCAGACCACTCAAAACCGAACCAAATGCCTTACCAAATTTAATAATTATCCTAATAAACATGTTAGCACAGTTTAAATATGTTAAATTCATAATAAAGAAAGAAAGAAATGCTCATATTTAGGGCAATGCAGAAGATTTAGTGAAAACAGCACAAAAATTGAGGAGCACCTCCAAGTTAGCACTTCCAAAACAAAGCATGTGGGACAACTGACCACCGCGTTCAGTTGTGTTACTCCGCGACGCAAAACATAAGCATGTCGGGGATGAAATGGCGTATCAGCCAATGCCAGTTTCACGTTATACAGACATCTTTCCCCTGTTTACCAATCACGTATGAGCCATTTCGCGTTTTGGAAACTCGCACAATAGCCGAGATCGCTGTATGTGAAGTTTTAGCATCTGTTTTTCTTCTGCAGCATCTCGCCGACACGTATTTCGGCGTGAGGAATAAATGTCTGCAACTGCTAGGCTGCCTGGGGTCTGTGGAAAAGCTGGCGTCCAAAGAGAGCGAGAGTGTGGCTTTGAAGGATGTGCAGAGCATCGTCAGCGATTACTTTGGCGATCAAGATCCCAGGGTCCGGACGGCAGCTATCAAAGCTATGGTATGGGATTCCTGTCTTGCGAGTTGGCGGGGATCTGACATGGTTGCTGGGATAGATCCGTCAGAATGTATAATATTCATCTTTTTCATTTCCAGCTGCAGCTACATGAACGAGGCATGAAACTACAGCAGACCATTTACAACCAGGTAAGCAGCCAAAAAATCTTGAAAAGGAAAGGCAGGAATTATTGCCATGTGTTGGATTGTACTGTACTTGTTTTAGCTGTGTGTAAACTATTTTGCCGGTGTATTTGAGGTCTTTCTTAGGAATAATTAGATGTTAGTTTCAATGAAAATTGAAAACAACCCATCAGTCTTCTTCAGGTGTGTGACAGCTGAAATGTTTTTTTTTTAATTTATCTTCAACACAGACTGAACTTCTACGTGTTCCTCTGCTGCTTGCAAACTGATGCAGGTCTGCTCTTGAGCTCTTTAGGTTGTATGTGTGTAAGCATGAAATTTGTACATCCTCTGCAGGCCTGCAAGCTGCTTTCAGATGACTATGAGCACGTCCGCTCAGTGGCTGTGCAGATGGTCTGGGTTCTGAGCCAGCTTTATCCCGAGAGGTAAGTTTACTCTTGTATGTGTTGTATTTATCCATTGTTTTGGGGGGAATATGCAAAAATCATTTTGTTTTGAAGCTTGACAAGTTTTAGGATTAAACTAGCTTTACATACCCAAAGGGTATGTAAAAAACGTTATTATTTCTTAACCTGTGTATTCAGTCCCCATTGTGTTATTCGAAAATATCCAAAGCTGAGTTTTCCTATCGTTGTTTTTAAATGTAGCATAGTCCCTATTCCCTCTTCGAATGAAGAAATCCGACTGATTGATGATTCATTTGGCAAAATTTGCCACATGGTCAGTGACGGATCGTGGGTAGTCAGAGTACAAGCTGCAAAATTGTTGGTAAGTTCCGTATAGGTGTAAATCTCAATTTACATTCCAAGCCATTGCATTGAGCAGAAGCAACACTCAATTTATTTTATTTTGCAGGGCTCAATGCAGCAAGTTAGCGCTCACTTTCTAGAACAGACATTGGACAAGAAACTGATGTCAGATCTGAGGGTAAGTTATAAAACAACAGCATGGCAGCTGCGAGAGATTTACCTGGACTTTTTGTCATTAGTTTTTCATGAAAATAGTCACACATTGACTGCTGTCCCTCTCTCCCTTCAGAGAAAGCGTACTGCCCATGAGAGAGCTAAGGAGCTGTACAGCTCTGGGGAGTTCTCCTCAGGCAGAAAATGGGCAGACGACGCTCCGAAGGAGAAAGTGGACACGTTCTCTGTCAATCTGATTGACTCTGGAGCCTGTGGAGCGTTTGTGCATGGGCTGGAGGATGAGATGTATGGTGAGCATCTTAACTTAAAACCTACAGAGAAAGTTATTAGTCCCCTGTGGGGCTTACAGAAATGTGTCTCTCCCCGTTCCCTGGCAAGACTTCTGCAAAACAAAATCCAGCATTCTGCAGCACGCCTTTATGAGCTTCGCACACCGTGCAGATGTGTCTGGAGCACTCTGCTACCATGCTGTCTTCCAGGGGTTTGATGGTGGTGGGGTTGTCCTGCCATGGGTCGCCTTTCCATACTTCTGCATCAGTTAGATCACCTCCCATCCAGGCTCTTAATGTTGTATATTGGTGCAGTACTTTACTGGAAGTTGTTTCTATTCCCATTTGAAGCTGGGTTCTGTGGTACTGCAAAAATTCAAAGACATTGTCATTGTTGGCAAATTAATGTTTTTCCATAAAAAATAATCCTTGCAACTTTTGTAGCACTTTTCTGGACACTCCACTGAAAGCGCTTTACAGGTAATGGGGACTCCCCTCCCCCACCACCAACGTGTAGGCCCCACCTGGATGATGTGACGGCAGCCACAGTGCGCCAGAACACTCACCACACACCAGCTATCAGTGGGGAGGAGAGCAGTTATGAAGCTGATTCATAGATAACCAGTAAAGGCCAGGGGGAAATTTGACCAGGTCTCCGGGGGTAACACCCCTACTCTTTTCGAGAAATGCCCTGGGCAATACGTCTGTGTGTTTCTGCTGTGTGCAGAGGTGCGGATTGCGGCCGTGGAGGCCCTGTGTGCACTGGCTCAGTCCTCGGCCAGCTTCGCGGAGAAGTGCCTGGATTTTCTAGTGGACATGTTCAACGACGAGATCGAAGAAGTTCGGCTGCAGTCCATCCACGCCTTGCGGCAGATCTCCACCCACATCACCCTGCGAGAAGACCAGCTGGACACGGTGCTGGCTGTGCTGGAGGTACACCTAGCTACCCCAGAATGATTTCTTTTTTCGCTTTTGAAATGTTACCAGTTCAAGCTTTTCCATTTGAATGTATTACTGCATATTTCTCCTAAGTGTTTTGAACCCACCATCCAGAAACGGCTCAGGGGGTGCACTTTCTGCAATGTGAATGAACGAGAGTATAGATGTGTGTGTGATCATACAGTCTGTCCGTCTGTAAACTCTACAAAAGGCATAATGGCCTCTGTATGTAGTTGCGCTTTCTGAAACTGAAGAAATATAGCAAAAAAAAAAAGAGAAACGAAATCTGAAATACTTTTCTCCTGTGTCAACCAGGACTCTTCTCGGGACATTAGAGAAGCCTTGCATGAGCTCTTGTGCTACACTAATGTATCTACGAAGGAGTGCATTCATCTGTCCCTCGTGGAGCTGCTCAAGAACTTGACAAAGTACCCAACGGATCGCAACTCTGTCTGGAAGTACGTTGCTATCTGCTGAAGATCTTTGCATTTGTCCGGAAATGAAATGTGGACATCAGCTTGTAGAGATCAATGATTATTTTTTTCAACATTGTGAAGCTTCAGAATTACCTGTGGAAATGAGAAACTTGAGATATTTTAGTAGCGCATATGAACATAATGTCTGTTTTTACATGGATTTTGCCTTTCTTCGGGTGGTTTATTTGATCCCTTGTTCTTTTCAGGTGTTTGAAGTTTCTTGGGGCAAGGCATCCTACATTAGTGCTGCCTATAGCCCCTGAGCTCCTGAGCACACACCCCTATTTTGACACTCCTGAACCCGATATGGATGACCCAGCGTGTATCTTTTCAATGTCTTGGAGGAGGGGGGAAATTTCCATTTGTATATAATTTAATTTAAAAGGATCTTCTCTAACATTTGGAATTAATTTTATGTGACCGTATTCATGTAATTCAACATCTGAAAGGCATTAGCAAATCTGAATTTTTCATATTTTGTTTCTGAATGATTTACCTTGACCTTTGCTCTGTAGACATTGCTGTTCTGGTTTTGGTTTTTAATGCTGCCAAGTCTTGCCCTACCATGCCGGCACTTTTTTCAGACCACACATTCAGACATTATTCCTACCTGAGGGACAGCCTTTCTCACCTAGTCCCACAGCTAAGGGTAAAACCTAAACCTCATTTGTGATTCCCAGATCTTCCGCTGGAATTTATCGTGGACTTCTGATGATTGCCTCTAAAATGAATATTGTGCAAACAAAGTATTAAAAAAATGAATATAGTAGCACTTATGTGACATAGTTAAGAATGATGAATAATTATAGCATGACTGCCATATTGTTTGTAAAAGAAGTTCAAGAATAGAGTTAAGTGTCATATAGAAACACAGCACTTAGCCCTTTTTAGAGCTCTTAATGTATGATGGTGTGAGTTAGTGGGTGCTTTCCATTGACTGCGTCCCACAGAGGACCCAATGGAAGATTTAATATTCTGAACAAAAGGCTGTGATAATCGTGGTGCTGTCGTTGCTTGTGTTCCTGTCTAGCTGCCAGGGCAGAAGCTGGTGTCTGTGTCCGATTCCTCCAGCATGGGATCCAGTGTGGAGTCCTCTCAGCAGTTCCTCCAGGACAGCCTGGCCAGAGTCTGCACCATCCAGCACCTGGAGGCCCCTGGGGCCCAGGACCTGCTGGACTTTACTATCAGGTGACAGAGGAAAGCCAGTCTGGGGAAAGCTGACAAGGGAGGGGGGGGGGACATCATGGGTCTGCCTCTTCTGAATCTAGTAACTACTTTGCCTAAAAAAAAGAACAGGATAACCTTTAAATACAGCCGTATTCTGCTTGGTTTCTTGTTCAAAGAAAAGGGCCAACTAGTGTTGTAGATCTTAAAATCAAGGTTGTTTTTAATGTCAACGTATTCTATTTAAAAACAACACTTTTGCTACGTATATAAACGCTAACTGAGTGAGATCTTAAATCGAATGATTACGTAGCTTACAGTGGAGTTCTCTCACACCTCCCCAGGGATCTCCAGAGACTGGGAGAGCTGCAGACAGAGCTGTCGGGGGCTGCTGATTTTTCTGCAACGTATCTTCGCTGCCAGCTGTTGCTCATGAAAGTAAGGACGGTCGGCATCCAAAGAGGCTTTTCTTCCCCGAGGAACAGCCAAACAGCGATTTGCCGTAACGTGTGGGCTGGTGTTTCCCAGGCTTTGCAGGAGAAGCTGTGGAACGTGGCTGTCCCCCTGCACCTGAAACAGAACGCCATGGCCTCTGCAGCCGCTCGGCAGGTAAGGGCGCAGGCAGGCGATGGCCGCCTCTGTTACGGCGCGTGAAGGGAGGAGTCCTGGTGGCGTAGCAGGGGGTTTTCACCTCTGTCAGATAGCCTTCCTTTGTGAATCGGGACCATGAGTCACGTACGATAAAAATTATAATAATTGCTTACACTTACATAGCGCTTTCCTGGACACTCCCACACCACCACCAATGGGCAGCATCCACCTGGATGATGCGACGGCAGCCATAGTGCGCCAAAACGCTCACCACACATCAGCTATCAGTGGGGAGGAGAACAGTTATGAAGCTGATTCATAGATAATCAGTAAAGACAGTAATGTAGCCAATTCATGGATGGGGATTATTAGGAGGCCATGATTGGTAAGGGCCAATGGGAAATTTGGCCAGGATGCCGGGGTTACACTGGGATTTTTAATGACCACAGAGAGTCAGGACCCCCGTTTTACGTCTCATCCGAAGGACGGCCCCTTTTTACAGTATAGTGTCCCCGTCACTATATTGGGGCATTAGGACCCACACAGACTGCAGGGTGAACGCCCCTCGGTTTATAAGAATCGGAAATGAAAAGTTCTGCAAAGAATCTCTTTAAACACTGGCTGCCTGCAGCACTGTCCCTTTCCTTTCTTACATCCCACATTACATTAAGCATTGGTATGAACAACTAAAAAGCCCTTAACATAATATTCTGTGATGTAGAGAACACCAGACTCTTCTCAGCGTGTGTTGATCTCCACATGCTAGACGTCCGCAGCTAAATAAATAACAGTAAGACGATTTATGATGTTGAATGGCTGTTTCAGATTCTGGAAGAGACGTACAAGCTCGAGTTCCTGTACAGCGGGCTGGAGAACAGACAGGTGGCCATCATTCACCATGTCAGACTGCAGGCCAAGGCGCTCCAGCTAGTCCTGACTGCTCGCACCAGACGAGGGCAAGTCATGCTGTTTGACACTGCTCGCTAACACTGAAGCAGAAAAATAAAAGCTCACTTTTTTGTATGTAAAGCAATAGCGTGACTTGGTTAAATGCTTCGTGTATAACAACGTGAACCTTTTGTTCTGAATTGGATGTATGTTAAAATACTTTCATCTCCTCTCCCTGCAGTAGAAAGAAAAGTAGTCCCTGTTGGTTTTTTTTTCAGGGTGGAGCCTTTGTTGAGTATCTGTGAAAAGTTTCTTCAAGACGTGGATGCATTTCAGAGGTACTACATATCCTGCAACTCTTAAAACATTAACCCTGAGTAGCTTGTTCAAGACACCCCAAATCATTGGTATAAAAAGGTACCTCCTTTTCTCAGTTTAAAGTGCCTTTCACCCTTAGTTTCCACTAGTGTCCTATGGTTCATGTTCACTGTTGATTTTAAAATAGTCCATTGGATTGACTTTTCTAATACCGTTGAGGATTTATAAAACTCCTCGTAGTCTTCACCATTCAGGATTAAAATGATTTGGTTCCTTTAGCCTGTCACTATGGAACATTACCAGAATGACAGGATTGCAGTTGCTCATAATAGGAGTTTTGGGATTTTTTTAAATTGGTTGGTTTCCATTGTCATGATTTTTATATACCTTTTTTCTCTTTGAACATTTAGCAGGAAAAACTAAACAGGAACAATCACATGATCTCATTCTCTCAACCCGTTTCTCCAAGGTGTTTTGCCTCAGAATTACCCCATTTCCAAGATAGTTTTGTGGAGAAGCTGCTGGAATTGATGCCCAGGCTTGTGGCCTGTAAACCGTTAGACCTGGTGAAGATCCTGCAGACCACACTCAGACAGAGTGGCTTCCTGCACCTCAAGCTGCCTGAACAGGTCAGTGTCCAGCATCACATCTGTAGTTATTGACCTGGTGTTGGTCTTTCACTATAAGCATTTCTGCACATTTAATAGCACTGTGACCCTTATGGCTTTTCCAAGTATTTACATGTGTGCAGACTGACTTTGGAGCTAATTCTACAATACACAAGATCCTGGATACTTGGCCCTTGGTTTTCCAGTAGCATACACAGATTCTGAGTTGTTGGATATGTTACATCCTTTTTTCTACTTATATATGTATTAGATCCACAGGGCAACTGCAACCATCATTGAGACAAATGGAGAATCTGATAATCCCCTGAGATTCACCTCTGGATTAGTGATGGCCCTGGACATTGATGCAACACTTGAACATGTGCAGGATCCACAAAATTGTGTTAAAGTTCAGGTACGTACATGAAGATGTTAGGCAACCTGAGATCTATTGGCTGTAAAGGGGTCGCGAGGGAAAATTGTGAGATTTGGATTTGGTTTTAGACTGGCCTTGGATTATGGTTAGAGTAGGAAACTTTTTGGTTAAAGGAAAAAGTAATTTTAGGGTTGCATTTAGACTGTGGAAGAGTACAGTTTTTTGGTTCAGGTGGCATTTGGACTAGAGTGACTTGTGTGTTATTAACGATGTATGTGTTACCCTTATAGGTTCTGTACCCAGATGGACAGGCACATATAATCCACCCCAAACCCAGTGATTTCAGAAAGCCTGGGCCTGGAAGGCACAGGCTCATAACTCAGGTGTACCTCTCTCATTCTGCCTGGACAGGTATGAAACAGTGTGCCATTTGTAACTTAATTAGCCCAAGGACATTGCTTAGTAAAAACTATTACTGTTAGTGCTTTTGTTTATAAATAACTATAAAATGCTTCCAGACTTCAGATGGTATGTAATAACTTAGTTTGTGATTGTTGGGCTGTCAAAAACAAGGAAGTATCATTGAAATCAGGTGCCTCGAGCTTCGTTCTTATGTTTTCAGGTCACTTTAAAAAATATTATTTTATCTTTATGGCATAGAAGATTGGATATTACATTTCTTCTTGTATTAAAACAGTAAAAGATGGAGTAAATGGTTTATCAGATAAGAGGTGATGGAATAGATAATATGCTAAGTGAATATTTCACACAAATCTTTGCAATTTAAAATGTCAATAACATGACATTTGTTTTAAAACAGTGCCCTTCAGTATTACAGTATGTGTAATTTTAATATAACTGACTTAATATAACACCCTACAGACTAGGGTGGCTGAAAGAAATACCCATACTTCACATTTACATTTTACATCACTTTTACATTTTCAGTCTCATTTGAGAAGGCTTGTGCTTTTTAAAAAAATGTGATATTTTGTTGTCGACAAAAGCTTTTCTTGTTTGATTGTCACTGTAATGAAAAATGCAGGTCGTCAGCTGAATACAGATCGTAGTGCAGGAAGTTGCCTAATGTGTGTCATTGTTGCAGAGCCCTGCCAGATTGAGGTGAAGCTGCTGCTTGCCTACAGCTCCAGCGCAAGCAGAGTGCCCTCCCTCAAGCCAGCCTGGAATGACAGCACAGACGGGATGCCACCCATGGACAGCTCCATTGAAGGCACTATTCCCTTCAGCAAGCCTGTGAAGGTCTTCATCATGCCCAAACCTGCCAGGCGCTGACCAGCACCTTGACACTTCACCCTTGTTAGCCGAAAGACGACGACTATGAAGCTTCCTGCAGATGCTACACACTGTGGATAGAATTTCCTTAAAAGTAATGGCATTCGCACTCTGTATTCATCCTAAAAGATGTAAATAGGACAACTGTAATTTAATATTTTTTCTACATAGTTTTGTTTCATAAACGTTTTGTATAAATGTGTTGTATGATGATACTGGAGGAAAACTAAATTAAACCTTCCTAAGAATATGTCAACAATTGTAGTCTCAATTACATTATATACATTCTCTGCTAATATACACTGGAGTGAACGTCCACAAAAAAATCCAAAATAATTCCACCTGCTATGTACGTATAGGCTTACGTTGTAATTCTGGAAGGAAGGAAACAGAAATAATAACCCTTCCAAAATGTTTTATTTGTAGCAATTGAAAACAAAGTCTAATGTATGGGCTATTTAGATTATATTAATTTACAAGTCACTTTAACACCTTGTTCAGTTTGAACCGAATTCTACATCTGAGCCAAACGCTCTGACAATGTTGCCAGAAGCTCTACGAAAGCCTTCCCTTGGAATTGACTAGGCTGACATCTCAGCAGGTTGAGTGGAAAACGCCTCCCACTTTAACTCCTTGCCCAGCCAGTGTGTTGTACTCTCTGACAGCCTTCTCTGTCTGAAAGACCTTCACATCCACACCCTGCTGCTTGACATACTCCAGGGTGGATGAAGGCACCTGGTGGAGAAAAATAAGTCTTTAGAGCTTGATTCATTGGAACTGCATGTAATATTTTAAAATTGAATTTGAACCGATTTGGCACCTATTCAATTAAACCACTGGAGACAATGATAGGCTAGAAGTGGGACATTCAACATATAAAATCTGGCCTGTGGGGTGAGGGCTAAGGTAAAGGTTGTTTCATTTGAGATTGTTTAAAACTGACTCGGGGCAGCATCTCAGGTCACTTAAAATCTTCCTTGATTTAGCTTTTTTTGCATGTCAGCCATGCAATTCAAAAGGAAGAGGTGTAATTTGTACCTGTAAGGCTTCACTCATCCCCCGGCCAATTACCAAGGTATTCACCCCTTTCTTCAGAATTTCCTCCAGGTCAGTAGGCTGAACACCAGGGTAATGCTAAAGATAACAAGGAGATGCATGCAAAACAATAGTACTAGAAAACATTTTTGAACCAGATTTATTTTTCTTCTATGTCCATCTACTGCTCAGCCCAAGCTTAAATAATAAAATTAGGTTTGTGGTATTACAGTACCTCGACACAAAGAGAAGATGGTGTTCAAATCTGGACTTGGCATCTACTGGTACAACCCTTGATCTAACACACTACAGATTATAGCAATTATTCCTTGCCTCCCACAGTCATTTAATTTATTGGCACTGTATTGAATGCAAATAGGGCTAGATTCCGTTGTGGAATGTTTCAGAATTGTGTTCATGCTCTTGACGGTGACACATTGTTTTGTAATGCCGTTATTTTGTTAACTCTCACTGGTTATAAATCACTTACATCGGTGCCAGTTTCTCTCCAGTCCCAGGCACGGCTGCCTCCGGGCCATACTTTGCAGTCCTTATAGGATGCAGAACATCCCTTCACCTTCATATGTCCCCAGGACAGAGCTGCGATCTCCGGCGATGACATTTGGGCTTGTCAATCACATTCAGACCAAACCTGGAACACTGACAGTAATACAACTGTTTGAGGATTTAACTGTGAAAAAAAATATGATTGAGCAATAATGTAAAAATGTGGAATTGGGTGGAACACTCCAACCAACAATGACAAAAAGACGCCTTAAAATGACAATAAACAGACAGGGAGACAGGAAATATAATCGTCTATCCTATTTAAGGTTCTTAATTCCATTGCCATATACTGTATGTGCTGTCAGGAAGACTGGATTTAGTAAATAATATATTAGTCGTACATGGTTACATCACTCAATCATTGTCTAAAAGCCAAAACTGAAAATTGTTTTACTGGCACGAATACTTTCCACGTTCGCATCTAATTACAACACACCGAAGTCACCAATTTAAAGGGGAAGAATCGATTTTACTTCATTAGAATTAATTGCAAAAGAACGAAGTTTAAGGTTGTGTTTTTTTTAAGAACTAAAGTATTCTAGAACTCTAAATTGTTTTTTTTTATACAAAGATCGTTTCATTTTGGCCTTGCAAGTTTTGCTTAACTCTACAACAGCATAGTAGTAACTAAACAGTGCAAAACGTATTGCATTGAAAGATCCTGGATGTTTTTAAGATAAGAAATGTTTCTTTTTAGTGTACATATATACAAAATTGATTCATGGCACTGCAAGTAGATTAGTAAGCGACTTAAAACAGCATTTTACTGCCCAGCAGTTCTGATCCGGGGGTTGCATGACAACATAAACAATGTGCCAAAAAGAACCTTCTAGCACGAACCTCGACAACTAACTCAAATGTGAACGAGAGCACAATTTCCACTCAATTAACGGCCTATAAGCACAAAAAAGAAGCAAAACATAGTACAAACGAATCCTTCGCTCTTCTCAGAAAGCGCAAACCATACCGGAAGGCAGGTGTGTCCTGTTAATGCTTAAAAAAAACACCGAAAAGCACAATACACACACTAACCCCAACCCTCCACCTCCTGTCCTCGCCTTATTTGACAAAAGCGCCGTAACCCCACCCTGCATCGTTAGGCCACACCCACCTCCTCAAGCCTACATTCGTTTCCCGTCCAATCACAAAGGGCTGCTCTTCTCTAACCCCACCCCCTCCTTGCATTGGACAGTCAAGAGGCTGGTTAGGACCAAGTAACACAGGAATGAGTAAACTCATGCTTACTTTGTCCATTTTTCATTTGCGAGAAGCAGTGACAGTGGTTCACCCGATTTAACAATTAACGCAGCTGTCTGTAAAATCCCCAGTCCGGTAGTGAATTTCAATTAAGGATTCAACTGTGATGGCCAAGGGGCTTTCACAGCAACTCGGAGACTGACAGTTGTAGGAAAGCACACATGAGGAGTAAGGTATAAAAAAAACACTAAATAATCCTTTAAAGAATGTCCAGTTGATCATTATGTGTTTCATATCACCCAGATACTGATTAGGTCAAGCTGTGGCTTTGAATTTAGCTGCTAGGCAACAGCGACTTTAAAGAGCTACATATTTCAACAGCTACAATTGGAGAAAATGTGCAGCAGTCAAATAATATTTCTGTCACTCCACAAAGATGGCCTGTATGGCAGAGAGCAAAACTCATCTCAAATCCTTCAAGCAGTTTGCATTGACGCATTTGAATGTTACACAAACTTGTGGTAATAGGTTTTGTAGTCTGACAAGACAAAACTGAAACCTTTTGGTTCAAATGCAGCCATATCACCCTGAAACTCACAACTGACAACCCACTGAAGCTCAGCAGGTGTGAGCCTGGTCGGTACCTGGATGGGAGACCTCCTGGGAAAGCTAAGGTTGCTGCTGGAAAAGGTGTTAGTGGGGCCAGCAGGGGGTGCTCACCCTGTGGTCTGTGTGGGTTCTGATGCCCCAGTATAGTGACAGGGACACTATACTGTAAAAAGGCACCGTCCTTCGGATGAGACCTAAAACCAAGGTCCTGACTCTCTGTGGTCATTAAAAATCCCAGGGTGTTTCTCGAAACAGTAGGGGTGTAACCCTGGCATCCTGGCTAAATTTCTCATTGGACCTTACTAATCATGGCCTCCTAATAATGATTGATTCCCTACATCACTCTGTTCTATAAACCTATAAAGCGCTTTCGGTGGAGTGTCCAGAAAAGTGCTATATGTGTAAGCAATTATTATTAGTAGTAAATGCAAAGCATTACATCTGACACAAAGCCCAACATAGTGCATTGTTCAGTTCATATCATCCGTGCTGTCACATATGGTGATGGCAGCACTACACCACAGTTCTGTTCCCATGGGACTGGGAAGCTTGTGAAGACTAATAGGAAGATTGATAGAGAAACATTCTGGCCAATGGTTTAAGAATAAGACGGTGGATGTTGTGGTCTAGTCCTGACTTGAATCCTGTCAAGAATCTGTAGAAAGACTTGAAAACTGCTGTCCATAACTGCACCTAACTGCACCTCAGGCAACCTGAGAGAGCCATGAAGAAGAGGCAAGAATTTTCTACCAAGTCAGCATGCAAAGTTTGTAGGGTCAGTTGCTGCTAAGGGCACTGCCACCATATATTGAGTTCATGGGTCTGAATACGTATGCAATCAACATATCTCTCAGCCTGGTCTCTTTAGTTTTTGATTACATTTACTGTAACTTATCATACATAGCTTCACAACAACATAACTGTTCTTTTTCATTGGCAGGCATAATGCTTTTATTAGTAGGCATTTTTATACTAATTGTATCACAACCAAGGTTCAAATCAATGTGTGCAACTCAATGTTGTGTACATTCAATGACAATTTATTTGGCAAAGATTACTAATCTACATTCAACTCGTACACCGACAGTAACGCATGCGATTATCGTCTTTTAATGACTATTTTGGACAGCGGGTCATAAATTAGTGCACAAATTCACACGCATACTGACAGTGTAACGCTGTGATGCTTCACAGCCCTCTGACTGGGTGGCGCTATAAGGTGGCTGAAATGAAGATTAGATTCTATCCAACAACCTGCACACTTCCTCGTCAGTTCTGCTGTTATACATCTGTCCAGCTCTTGAGAAACCGCGCGGCTGCACAGACTTGTGGATGCGCGACCTGGCGCCGTTTTGTTTTTACCGGATGAGTTCACGCAGATGCCTGGAACAGACGTGGTGCAGACTCTGCGCAGACATTTGGGCCTTCTGCTGTATTCACTCCCCCCTCGTCTAGACCCTTGAGCCTGCGCACGACGTCACGATCTGTGGAGACGGCGTGTGGCTAGTTTTCTTGGAGGACTGATATCTGCCAACATATTGTTCTGTGTTTTTGTTTTTTTGAATACCCCCCTTGTCCTTCACTTTCATTACTTAATGTTCAATAAAACCTGAAGAAATAAAACAGTTATAGAGGAACTATCGTAGCGTGCGGAGCTGAACATGGAGGTGGTGTAGAGTTAACCCTTTAACGTTATGATACGCCATCAGCTCACAATACCTCCTTACTAAACAGAATAACTAAATTGTTGTGAAGCTAAATATCACTTGAGGTATTAAAACATTTGTGCTATATATCAGTGCAAAATGCCACCACTGTAACTTTATTAAAATCGCTATATATTGCAAGGTAATGTATGCACTGCCCGTCAGCATGTACAGTTTGCTGCTGACAAACATCTCTACTTCTTTTGGCTCAGCAGGCTGACCCAGCACACCTCCTTCCGAGTAAGTGGTTAAATTCCAACCCCAGGGTGATTCCTATGTTAAAAACGAAGAGATGTCGACTTTGCCTCATCTTCCAAAAATAGTCCCATAGCCATCCATAAAACCGTGCGTTTCCTTTTGAGACCGTAACGCTAATGTTACGCTGACACCAGCAGCCATATCAATCTGCAACTCCCAACTGGCAACCTTCTGAAGCTCAGCAGGTGTGAGCCTGGTCAGTACCTGAATGGGAGACCTCCTGGGAAAAAAATAAGGTTGTTGCTGGAAGAGGTGTTAGGAATGGGGTTGAACAATAAATTTAATACCCGGAACCGGGAATACGCACACAATACAATACTGCACCTACACCAACACTAACACACACGAAGGGATGAGGCTGTCTCCCAGCCTCCGCCCCACTATATACAGTCCCGTTGTCCCGCCCCCAGGCGCTGCTCTCAGGCCGCCATGCGTGCGTTTGGCTAAAGCGCCCCGCGAGGCCCTACACAGCCGAGCCCGACCCGTCCCTCCAGGCTGCACACGCAAGGCAGGCTCCGTCCGTGCCAGGACCCTCCGTCCCGCTGCAGACACCAATGTAACGCGACGGCGTCGGCGAGGACAGACGCAGGAAGTCCGGCTCTTCTTAACTGAGAACACGGCGCTTTATTAATCGGCACAACAAAGGGAGAGAAAGAGTCAAGTCTGCAACACACTGGGGTCAATTCGGGTCCAGTTACACAGGTATAGGATGGTAATTGGGTACATGTATAAAAGGGGGACAAAACCAGGGAAACGACATGAGTCCGGGCGATCTTGCGACTGTGTACACCTGTTCCACGACTGGTCAGCAGCACTGGCCAGTGGCTCTCCTAGTCCCCGCCCTGACCACCAATACTCCCTGCCCCTCGCCGTGCACCCCAGCCGGGCGCTCTTCGGCCGCAACGCCAGGCGAGGGCGCTACAGTACTCAATACGACAATAAACTTAAATCTCGACCACTCGTGGTGGGTCTCAGTACACGGCCTTTTCATACCACAGTGATGTGTAGACTAATGTTATCTTGATTTATTCTCGTAGTTTCCATCAAATGCTCATGTGTTGGAAATGACACTGGAAGATTCATTTGTGTCACTCATATTACAAGACCACTTGCCGACAAATTCAAGTTTGCAGGACAAGACAAGCATAACGTTCATCTAATTAATTTACTGCAAAGACCATTTATACTCATTGCAGAGTTAAGGCAGAGTTTGAAGTTCCTGAAACACAAAGGGGATCCGACAGCACCCATTTATTTTGTCATTCTTAAACCGAGGTGCACTTTACATTCTTTAAATCGTGTACATTCATTGACAATATATTTTGCACAGGTGATTAATCTGCATCAAACCGGTGCATTAACAGCAAGGCATGTGATAATCTCCTTGTAGGTATAATTTGGGACAGTATTTCATAAATTGGCTGTCACACGGAATTCACACGCATATTAATAGCGGGGGGGCTCGCTGGAGTTTCACACCCCCTGGCTAGGCGGCGCTCTCAGGGGGAGTGAGGATTATACACGGGTACCTGCACACGTCTTTGTTAAATCGCCACTCCTCTGTTGTTTTGAATCCGCGGCTGCTGCTACTGCGGACCGTTCAGTTTTGTGGAAGCGTGACCCAGTGACGTCTCAATCCGGCTGTGTTTACGCAGCCGTACAGGTCCCGGTTTGCTGCGGGAGCTGTGCAAACTCCGAGCAGACTTCCGTGTATCTGCGTGTCTGAGCGCAGCCATCGTTCTGGCGCGGTGGATTGTGGGCAGCCGTCGGTCCTCCGAGCCCAGTCTCCTGCACCCCCATTGGAAAAAATGGCTGCTTCGGCGGCGGCGGCGGTGGAATCTTGCCCCGGTTTGTGTCCCAGCTTCGCCGTAGTTTGCTCTTTTCTGGAGCGGTATGGACCTCTGCTGGACCTGCCAGAGCTGACTTTCCCACAACTGGAGCGAGCACTAAAGGAGACCTCGACAGGTAGGAGGTTTTAAAGTGCAGAGGCAGCGATGTAGTTAAAAAAAAGGGTCTCCATCATCTTTGCTTGTGTTGGTGGTGCAGATCTTTGGGAGCACTGTTATTGTGTGATTAAGTGACGTTCAACTTCATTTTTCTCTGGCTTATTGACTTTTACGATGGGGGTTGTAGCCACCGGTCAATGCAGAAAGATGATTTGAGCTTTGCAAATAGTTTTTCTGCCCGAGAGAAGAGGAATGTGCTTGCTAGTGGCGTTTTGGAGTGTCTCGGGGGTTATTTTCCATCTTGACTTGATTTGCCTTCTCATGGAGTAAATAGTACTTTATTTTGCACAATAGTAAAGATAATGTTGGCTACAATGAGGGGTGAATTATACTATTCGTGGTAATATAGCGATTGTGCTTCCGTTAAGTTCCTATATGGGGACCGGAGTGTTTCATTGCACTCGAAATGCGCCGACGATATTTACAGTTTAATGATATTTTTTGGCAGATAGTGGTTCACTGTCAAGACTGCGCAGGCGCACACAAGCGATGCTAAACTTCCTGCTGAATGGAGTCTCTCCGTTTGTGATCTGATCATATTCACACCATTCAAACGGTACTTAGGCGGAATGGGCTTGTGTTTTACTGTCAGAAACATGTTTAAAGAATCGAGGGACAAGATGTATTGATTCATTTTTGTGTTCACATGGTTGAATCATTTGTTGATTACGACCGTGATATTTCTGAGGCAATTAAAATTAAAGACACCCAAATACCTGCGTCCACGATTTTTCACAATATCCCTATATCATACAGAATGGCTTTTAATAATCCGTGCTGTTAATGACCTTTCTTTGCGTTTGCATTGATTTTCTTTTTTCTAATGTGTCAAAACAAATGACGTCGCGGTAAATATTAGCACGCCGCGAGACAACCCCAGGAGCACGTGTTTGTAGCAGGTGAATTAATATACAAATTTCAGGTTTAATTATCTGACACTAACGATAAACGGTTTCTATCAAGTCGGATAAATGCAAATCCTGTGTTTGTCATTAACGGTTCCCTTATAATAATCGATTCATTTTGATTTCGACAAAGTTGTCTGTGGGGGTTTCTGTTATGGACGTCAAATTTTGATTCAAGCATTTAAATGAAAACAAACTGTTGGATAGCCAATTCACATTATAAATTCCTTTACTTAATCTATATGTTTGGATGTTAGATTATTAGATTATTTCTTGTTTTATTTAATTGTGTGCGATTAATAACGTTTTACATTTATATAGGTTTGTAAAAAATGTGTTATATCAAAGCAAAAAAGTTCAGGCGGGATATATATTGGCATTGCATTGTATGGAGTTTTATTTTTATCATACTGACAGTATTTTGTAAATCATTGGGGAGGTCTCATAATGAGGACTTTGAGTCCATTTTATCTCTACTGCCTATAAGTCATGAGTTGGTCATAACATTGAAAACACCTGTTCAGTGTTTTAAAAAGTCTGTAATGTAGTTAATATATTTGAAAAATATTTAACACTTATGTACTCATACCTCTTTCCAGATTTTTGATACTTTTATGTTGAAGTAATCTTTTCTTAATGGTAAAGCACCATAGAAGACATTCTGCATTTCAGCTTTTTATATCGGTGATAAGTGGTGTTTGTAGTTAAAACTGGAGTCTGTGTACCACTTCATGTTGGTGTTAGATTTTGAAATTGCACTTTTGAAGTTCTTTCACTATTTACACCTCACTGTACAAAACTAAAATAGTACTCCTTAAGCGTATATTGTGTTTTCCTAGAATGTTTCTTTTAAAAGCCTTTAATATAGCTGAATAGTGGAGCAGAATTCTTTCAAGACATTGCTGTTTTCCACCCAGTTCTTTCTGCTCATGAAATTGTGATGCTTATCCAGTGAGATTAGTTTAAAATAAAAAAAAATAGTGCGCTAAGGAGATGATACAGAAAAAAATGAGAAACATTGTCCACAAAGCATTTGGAGAGTGATTGCTTTTGTTAAGTCAGGACAAAGTCAGGATACAAAAAGGACAGATTTCATAGGGTTAAAGCGTACAGAAAACATCTCTGCCTCTTTGAGGATTTCAGTTTAACTTGTGAATTACTCTGTGTGAAGATTTCTAGTTTTAAATTGTGAATATTTGAGAATTTATTATTCTGAATATGTGACTTACAAATTCTCACATAGGCACGCTAAGTCAGTTGGTTCATGCACTCAGAAGGGCTTGGCAGTATCCACAAGACACTGATTCTTGTTGTTCTGTCTGAGATGTGAGAATTTCAGAAATTAATTGCATACTTCCTGAGCTGGTAAAAAAAATTGCATAATGCAGAGCCTCAGAGAATACCCACTGCAGTGGGTTACATTGCAACAGGTTAATAGAGGAACAGGCAGAATGTGTTCAGGGTGCTGCAATAGGGCACTAGGCTTTGTCCAGTGGATGAGCAGCACAAGCTAATTCTTTTTTAATTCGGTTTAGAACTGCTAGTTATTTGTGTTCTACCAACCTGATCTGACGTTCGTCACATCTGGGTGCGCAGTTATGAACCCCATGACCCCCACACAGCTGCAAATGAGGAATTGTAGGCAGACTCCCATGATGAGCCACTTGTCTTTCAGCATGTCACAGGCTGCAGAGCCTCGTACAAGAGGTTCACCGCCAACTGGGGCGGAGGTGTGAACGCACCGCATGTCTACGAGTACCCGGGAGGTTGCCGGGGTCAATGTGTCTCTGAAGGAGGCGAGCCCTGCCTGGCTGACCCCTCCCTACCCCCAGTGCGCCACTGCCTGGGGGTCCCAGTCAGACAGTGATGTGACCCCGTCTCGAACCTGTGATCTTGAAATTCATTCAACGCTCACAGTTCAGCCTCTTGGGAGACAACCACGTTTAATTTTAATGGTTTATATCATTTGTCTTCCCGTGTGGAAAAATAGCAGTCAGGAAGTGAGTAGGAGCTTGTTACTGATGTTGTTACTCAGGAGTTTAAAGCAGAATCATAGGTTTTCTGGAAATGATTCTCTTACGCTTGTGTCAACCCAGCCGCTGGGCACTGGTTGTCTTTTCCGCTACAACTTGGTTGGTTTTCCGCTAGAGCTGAGCCTTCCTGTGGGTAGTCTTGGGTATGCTGCTTCAGGAGCTAACCAGAGAGCTGTCCCTGTGGTTAAAGCCACCATGCCCTGTACACTGCAGTCACTGGCTCACAGTCACATCATATACCCTGTTCATACCGACAGAGTCATTTATCAGTAAGCGTGTTATTCTGATATGTGGATCTCATAAAATCCATAAAAATGCTCAAGAAAAAGAAAAATTGTTTATTTGTTGATTGCATTAAAGCTAGGAGACCTGTTAGGTGAAGAAATTTGGATTATTGATGGGGTAAACAAACTCGAGCTGGAATTAGAATGAAACAAATATGACAGAATGTTTCCTTTTCCTGTGTGTAAACTGTTGCTTTGGGGGACTCGTCTGGTGAAATCAAGTTCAGTTTAACTTTTTTTTTTTTCTGTGAGATTTCTATGAGCTTGATTAGCTACAGTGATAGTTAAGATTGAGATCACATGAAGACCGATCCTGTTCAATCTCAGCTAAGGTTAGGGTGTGAAAGGGGTTATATGAATGAACACAGCTTTCCTTTTGTTCCTCCCCCCTCAGTTCCCAAGCCCTTGGTGGAGCTCCACTTGAAGTTAATGAGGAAAATTGGCAAGTCTGTGTCGGCAGAGAGATGGGAGAAATATCTAATCAAGGTAAGGAGGTCGAGCTGCGGGAGGCAAGGTTGTTGAGTCACATCTCTCTGCTTCTGAAATCAGGAAACAGAAAGCAGAGTCCCGGTAAAGGTATTGGACCTGGGTCAAAGCCTCAGTCCACTAACCATCCTTTACTGATCCTGTCTCTCATTCTATCCCCCATTGCTTTATTAGGAGTTCCAATGCATTTCTCATGGGTCTCTATTGGGTTTATGAATAGCAGTGTCACGATACTGGCACTGTAGATTTTATGTGTAATTAAATTACCTGCACTATATACTTAGATTGTATACTTGGCTTATGATAATATATTTTGTGTGAAGCATCACTGCAAGCTGTTACTTTCTGTAACTGTAATAATGTAGAAAATCTTGTTCTGTGTCATGTTGCCTGTGATTTCTTTCCGCATCCCTCAGATGTGTCAGGAGTTCAACAGTACCTGGGCCTGGGAGCTGGAGAAGAAAGGATACCAGGAGATGACTGTGGAGTGCAAGACGGGGATCCTCAAGGTAAGACCAGGGTCCCTTCTCTTGCACTTTCCTAAAATTACACCAAACTCCAGTTCCAATTCCACCAAACTCCAGACCTTTTAGATAATACTGCTCTATATCTGTATATTTTTCACATGTTAGTGTTTCACTGTGAAGTTGTGGACTTATGTTGTTTCTAAATCACAATTTATCAAGTGTCCTGATTTCGTGCTACTCTTGGGGTGCAGGTGCTAGTAAAGCTTTTTTTTTTAATGTGTTGAGAGATCTCATCAAGTTTTTTAATCGATTATGCAACAGTGGCTATGATGCTGGGACAATTCCCTCAAGGACAGATATTCAGTATTCCTCTCTTTTTCTAGTACCTGTGCGAATGCCAGTTTGATGACAATATCAAGTTCAAAAATGTGGTCAATGAGGAAGACCCTGACGCGATGCGCCTGCAGCCAATTGGTCGTGACAAAGATGGCTTGATGTACTGGTTCCAGCTGGACCAGGACCACAATGTGCGGGTCTATGTTGAAGAGCAGGATGACCAGGATGGTTCTTCGTGGAAGTGCATAGTCCGGTGAGGATCTGTGGCAGGGATTTCCTGGGATGGGGGTGCATTTATCTAGGCTTGCACCTAGAGAGGGGTAAATCTACAGGGCTCTTTTTGTTTCTCTCATGTATGTATCTGCTTTCTGGGACAGTCCATCCAGTCTCATGGTCCCAAACCCTCTTGCCCAAGGCTGGGTTTGGATGGAGTAGATGGGTATGTGGTGGACTCTTTAACTGTTGTGTCTTATGTGTGCTTGCAGGACTTAATGTTATCATGAAGAGGTGTCTTGCTACTGGGCGATAGCAATGTGGTTTTGTTCAGGATCTGAAATTGCAGTGAGAAGTGGACAGCTTGATAATGCTTGTGTCCCAGGCTGGACTTTTTTACCCAGGTTTTTCATTATACAATTACTTCTTGTCCACCTCAGATCTCGGAATGACCTGGCGGAGACACTAGAGCTGCTGAAGGCTCAGATTGACCCATCGCTGCTGACAAAACCTGAGCAGCAGGAGGGCTCCTCCAGTACTAGCCCCGGCCCAGAGGATGAAGAGAACAAGAAGGAGGGTGGAGAGATCCCGCCACCAGGTACTGGGATCATCTGTTACTATGAGGAGTGAGCACAGACTGAGCAAAGACTTGCGAACTTGGAAGTGTAGTGGGAAGGCTCGGCTCAATTGAAACTGCAGTGCATAAGTATTGTTTCTGTAGGGGAAAGAGATATTGTTTGTCCATGGTTGTTACAGGAGAAAAGCACAATATTTTAGTAAGCCTTTGTGATCAAAGCAAATATTTGATTTTGAAAGAATGCTCAGAGAACTCTTTAAAATAACACGTTACCTTGAAGTTGAGGTCACAATACTTCAGGGATTAATACAGTTCTCATATGCTATTGTGTGAGATTACCAAATCTCTCTCTATAGGTGAATCCTCTGACATAAAAGCTGACAAAACAGATGAGGTTTCGAAGGACCAGGAAAGCAAATCTGCAAAGGAGACACTTGTTCCTGCTTGTTCCAAAAGTGTAAAAGAGGAGAAGGCACCCGCTTTGTCAGAAAAGGGAGAGCAAAAATCTGACTTGAATGTGGAAGTGAAGCAAGTCAAACAGGAATCAAATGAAAGCAAGGAAACTACCGAGAAGAAGGAGTTAATAAACAAAGCCGATAAAGTAATAGAAAGACCTGTGACCGATAAGAACAGAAATATCGCCACCCTTATCAAAGAAGATCCAAAAGACCCTAAAGATGCCCAGAGCTCTGGTCAGAACACGGTGGCCTCGGTGCCAGAAGTCCTTGTAAAAATTGAACTTCCCGAGGAGGTTAAAGAAAAGTCTCCGGAGGAATTGGAGAGAGCACTGAAGAATGACCAGCAGGCCAAGATTCCACTGAAGAAGAGGGAGCTCAAACTGACGGAGGACTTTGACAATGGAAGTAAGATTGTCCGTAACCCGTCCATCACCCCAACCAAAGAACTTCTTAAGGAGGAAGGGAAAACTGACGAGGAATCTAAGCCACCAGTTTTCTGCGCTGTAGAGAAGGAAGGGAAGGAACTGGTGAATGGAGAGGTTCAAAGTTCAGGAGACGTGAACCACCACCAAAATCAAGAGGAGCCAGCGAACACAGGGGTTTCATCAGAGGAGAAAGTATCTTTGCAGAGTGAGCAAGCTAAGAAGGGAGAAGCCTTGCCTGATGTCTCCATAAAAAAACAAGAGAATGGGTTAGCAGAGTCCAGTCATAAGGCAATCACAAGTCCACATAAAGAACAGGAAAATGCTTCTGAACAAGAGAATGCAGCGAAGACTGAGAAAGTTGAAGATGCCAAACAAGTGAAGGAAAATAAAGGACCCGAGGTAAATGTAAGTGATTCCACTGATGCTACTCCTACTACTGACCCTGCTTTTGCTGCTGTCCTGGAAGAAAAGAAGGAGACTTCTCCAAAACAAGCAGAGGCATCTCCTTCACCCAAAGCTTTTTCCCATCAAGAAGAATCCAAAGAGGAGCCAATGGAAGCATCCGAAGGTCCTGTGAACAAACCAGAGATGACGGAGAAACCTAAGGAACCTCAGGAAGGACAGAAGGACATGAATGATGAGAATTTGGACAAGGACAGTGAGAAATCCAAGAAAGATTCCTTGGTTACTCCGATGGAATGTGACATTTCTGAGAGGGAGGAGGCGGACACGAAGAAAGAAAATGATACGTCTTGTGCTGAGAAGGCAGAGTCAGCAACCGTTGGTAATGCTGGGGATGAAAAGAAGCAGGAAGCAAGTGGTCTGGAGGAAACCTCTGTAATCACTGTAACTCCACAAGAGGAGAAGTCAACACCAACTGAAGAGGCTGAGGACAACATGGAAAAGGAAAAGTCTGAAAAGAGTGAGACCCAAACAGCAGGAGCAGACCAACAGGCAGCTGTCAGTTCTGATGACAGCAAGCAGGAAGTGGGGAAGAAAACTGAAACGCTTAATGAAAATGAAAAGGAAGCAAAGGATGAAAAATGCAATGAGGCATCATCAGAGATCCAGAAAGGAGGGATCAGGTTGAAGATCAGGATCCCTGCACACAAGAGGAAGACCGTGATTCAGGTGGAGGAGAAGAGGCCGGACTGTGAGACTGAGGTGACAGATGGGAGGTCTCTGAGGAGGTCACCAAGGATTTGCAGGCCAACAGCCAAGGTGGCTGAAATCCGCGACAAGAAGCTGGAAAAGAAGCAGGCAGCAGCAGACGAGGAGGGGGAGGAGGATAATGAGGATGAAGAGAAGCCAGCCCCCCAAAGGAAAGCAAAAGAGGGATCAAGAAAGACTGATTCAGAGGCCCAAACCAGACCCACCAAGGTACTTCAGCAATGCTTATTTTCTATGGCATATTATCTATTTCATATTAGCAACACAGTAAAAAAGTCTCTTGTGCTCTGCTGAAACCCTTTAATGGGAAAATTGAAACCCAGATTCAAAATCTAGAATCAATATTATTTACATTTTAAATCTTTAAAAGAAGGATTTGTAGCTTCAGTAAAGGAGACTATGATAGAGTGAGGGAGAGCTTACAGCAACAGCTTTAGAAAAGATGGGAGTCAGGAGCGTGAAGTAGGATGTTTAAACTTCCAAAAGATATTGTTATACGCTTGAAAGAAATTAATCCCTCAGACAAGTCTAGAAAATGAGGGTCGAATGGTTAAACAAAGAAATAGAAAAACAGAAGTAATAAAGCGTTCAATACAGACTGCAACAGAGGACAAGACACGGAGACAGTAATAGAGTATACTGAGCTTCAGGTGAAGGTGAGAAATTAAATTAGAATCACAGAGAAATGAACATTACTCTAATGTTCATAAGGGAGAGCATTTTAAGTGATAAAGTAAAACTTTTAAAAGCTGTTAATATGTTATATAACATAAGAACATTAATGGAAGAAGCAGAAGAAATAAACATGCTAGTTAAATATTTCACACATTTATGAACTAGAAGCCATGACAATAATTGTTGTAGTTGTCAGTAGAATACTTTACAAAGCTTTTAGTAATGTCCTTTCCAAAAGGCTAATTCACAATGTAAATATCATGGGAATCCAGTAAATGTTTGAGAATACATGGGGAACGAGTAATTGTGCTCCTTGAACAGAGGCCCCGAGCCATAGATGGACTCTGAATGTCCTTTGCCTTTCAGATGTTTCTGCTAGATATGCTGCTTACTTACTGATTAGGGTTGCAAATGGTAGTTTTAAAGTCTTGTAATTGATCTGTTGGCTTTTCTTCTCTAAAATCGTAACGTTACAGTCACAGAGTTGTGATTCCCATGCCAGTTGTTTCATTGGTGTCTTAAGGCCTTAGGTCTTTTCCTTCAGCAATGAGCCAGGCTGCGTGCGTGTCCATTTCAGGGCAGGCGGCGGCACCGGCGGACCCGCTGGACAAACACCCGCTCGCGGTGGCGTAAAGCGAAGGGCTCGAGCGAGGAGGAGGAGGAAAGCGAGGAGGACGACAGTGACGAAGACTACAAGGTGGAGAAAGACAAGGACAGACACGAGTCGGACTCCGAGGAGGAGCCAACTCCCAACGATGATCCCTGTAAACACTGCGGCCTGTCCAACCACCCTGAACTGGTGAGCAAATCATGCGAGATTTCGGATGTTGATTCCTGTGGCCTGTCATGGGGTAGGGGGTGGAGATCTCAAATTGCCCCTTTGCAGATTCAGTATAAACACTGGGAAAAGAGTTGTACCAATTTACTGATGGATTAATTGTACCAGTGTAACCCCTCTCCACACATATCTCAACGATTTGAAAAGATCAAACCTGCTCGGTATGTTGGAGACCTGAGGGGCCAGATATGAGAAGCTCTCCTTGAGAGCTTTGTGCAAAAACATTAGGATCCAGTCAGAGGTTGATGGAAAGTAGTTTTTAAATAGTGCCTAGTAAATAAAGAGCCATCAATTCATTAACTGGGTGTCTTTTATCATGGTTTAAATCCCTTTTGTCACACTAAGACAGCTAGTCTCAGGTTGTACCGTATTCCACCTTACCGCTTCTGTCCACAGACCGGTTCTTTTGCTTTGTTGCCCCCCTTGCAGATCCTCCTGTGTGACTCCTGTGACAGTGGCTACCATACAGCCTGCCTGCGGCCCCCACTGATGGTCATTCCAGACGGAGAGTGGTTCTGTCCACCTTGTCAGCACGTAGGTTTGATGGAAAGAGACTTTCCTTTCCGACAGTGGATGTTGTGAAGATGATCATTAACGCATTTGAGGAGTAGTCTGTTTTTTTTTCCCTGTATGTGATGGGGGTCGGAGATTGGGGATTTGGGAGGGCCAGGGCTGTCACCCTGCAGGCGTAGGGGAGGGATGGAAAACAAAGGGCTCTCTCGCCGAATTTCAAAACGTAAGAAAGCGCGGCCTCAATTTCCAAGTGAAGGGCGTCACGAAGAGAACATAATCTCTCATTCACTGGCTGTCTTGCAGAAACTTCTGTGCGAGAAACTGGAGGAGCAACTGCAGAATTTGGACGTAGTTTTGAAAAAGAAAGAACGTGCAGAAAGAAGGTGAAGTCGCTTCTGTTCCCACCAGAGCCTGACCAAATAAATTGTCTCCTAAAATGGAAAGTCTTCTGTTTTTCTTACTCTAAGTGCTTTTCTCCTTTTCTTCTCGCCATCTCGACAGGCGAGAACGCTTGGTGTATGTTGGGATCAGCGTTGAAAACATCATCCCTGCTCCCGTAAGTAGTACGGACTTGGATTCTAATGGCGCTAAAGTTTTTAGCCCAGACACAACGAAGGTCAGTAGAGATTTAACTTTGGAATCAAATTGTACCATTTTACAGACTGAATTCTTTGACTTTGATCTCTAAGGGGGATTGAAATTTAACATTAGATTTCTATCTGCTTTTAGTCTGCATATTTCTGTTTACTTTTTCGTTTTTATTGTCTTCATTGAATGGAATGTATTTTTTATAGAATAGTGATTTTATTTTGCAATACTAAAGCTGAAAATGAAAATATGGAAATCTAGAATAAGTTATTTATTGTACATTGATTAAAAAAGTCATCTGTAGTCTAAAAATAAATGTTGACACTTGTTAACATATTCAAAATCAGTAGAGCTTAATGCTTTTCAAACTGCTGACGGTTAGCAAAATTGCAGATTTTTATAGAATGATTGTGAGGTATTGTGTTCACCACCGTAGTATTTCATTGTTTTTGCTTTAGTATTGTTTTCATTGCTTTATTACCTTTACCTAGAGCAGTCATACCCAGACAAGTTAATCTCACAATAGATATTGTGAGATTTTCTTTTGCACACTGAATACACATTTGAACTGTTCTTGAGCTGTGTGATTTGAACTAAACTAGTAAACTATGGGGCAATGAAAACATTACTTAAACATGTCATGCTTTGTTTAATCTTATTTAATACACCTTTTCCCCAGTATTTATTTTATATGAGCACATTACAAAATGAAGGCTGAGCCTTACTTTATCTTTATCACAGCTACTTTTTATTTTGGTCCAGTACTGAAATACATGTTAAAATTGATTCTCTTAGGCAACATCAGTAATGATCTTGCCTCACTTTGTGACTCATACATGGCCTTGTCATTAAAAACAAGGGCTTTTTAGCTTGGAGTAATCTAAAAAATCAGATGACCGAAAATCATTCATACATAGTCATTTGCGAATTGTGGCATTTGCCTAATTTTTGAAATGTGCCCATAACACATGTTTATCCCAGGTGTATTGACATTATTTGATTAATTAATGAAAACATTTGCTTTCAAGGGTTTATTTATTTCTTCACGTGTTTATTTGCTTGTTTAAGCTGTTAGCACCATAAAGCTGTAAATCGACTTTTAGTTATGTAATGCTCTGTTTTTGTCTTTTATGTTTACATACTTTACTCCAAAATGCTTAATTCTGACATCATCAGAAGTATTAAGGAATAGTAGAATCTGAATTTTCCTTCATGTCCTATTTATTTTTTTTTAAATCCAAGGAATATAGGAATGATTTGTTAAAAGTATGTCCAGTTGGGGTCCTTAGGTTACTGTCAATAAGAAAGTGTGATCTACACATGGATGACTGCTAACTAACGATCAGACTTCACATCTGACCAAAGCGCTTCTGTTCTTTTTAGGAACCAGAGGTAGAAGAAGGGACTGAGGAAAAGAAAAAAGAATCAAGAAAATCCAAAACCTTGGAAAGGAGGTCAACTAGAACACGGAAGTCTATCAGTTACAGGTACCAATAAGAGGGGCTTTCCTGTCTTGTTGGCTGGGGAGACAGAGACCAAGCTCAGATGTTTGAGGTGGTGCTGAGTGGAATTATTGTGACTGGGCCTCATTGTACACATGGTACAGTTAACTGAAAGATGTATCAGCTTCATTTGAACTTGGAATTGAATAAGAAGAGATTTCTGGATGTTACTCTTCGTTTTAAAGTAATGTTAAGCATTGTAGAGAAGGATTCTCTCTCAACTGCCATCTCTCTTTTGTGACGTTAGATTTGATGAGTTTGATGAAGCGATAGATGAAGCCATTGAGGAAGACATCAAAGAGGCAGAGGGAGGAGGTAAGCTCACACAGTGCGCACAGCTGCAGTTTGAGCTGTGCATTGTGTAGCACATTTGATTCTCGACTTGTGATGAAAATACCAAATGTACGAAGTGAAGGTCTGGCTCATGTATGGACCGGTCCTGTGTAGTGAATGCGTCTTTGTCTGGCTTCATAGGAGCAGGCCGAGGGAAGGACATGGCCAACATCACAGGTCACAGAGGGAAAGATATCTCCACAATCCTCCAGGAGGAAGGCAAAGAGAACCGCCGTCCACAAAGAGCTGCTGCCTCGCGGAGGAAGAAACGCCGGCGCCTCAACGATCTGGACAGTGATAGCACCATGGAGGAGGACGAGAGCGAGGAAGAGTTCCGTGTCAGTGACAGGTGGGAGACCCAGTACTGAAGCCCTTCAGACATCATGTAATCGCAGTTTTTCCAGGACCAGCTGTAGGCAAGCTGTGCCAAACGCTTAACATGAATTACAATTCGATACAATTGAGGAAGCCAGAGTTCTGCTTTGGATTTGAAGGTCCAAATCCATGCGGGACATTTTCAGTGTGGAGGCAGAGCCCTGGATAAAGGGCAACGTGTTGCCTTAGCAACCACAGCTGCCCTGGCTGATTAAGGATGAGCTGCAGCTGTGAGGGCTCTTTAAGACACACTGAGCACCTCCTTTACTGTGCACCTCCCCGGAGGGACGAGCAGGCCCCCGCAAGGGGAGAACCTTCCACCGACTGTCCCGGAGGGGACTGTGACGCACGCGCAAGCCTTCGTTTCATTTTCTTTTTCTTTTCGCCTGTCCCATCACGTATCTCCCACCGGGGCAGGCTAAACTTTTCGTTTCCCGTCCCGCAGTGTATCTCTCACTGGGACACGTTGAGCTTTTTTTTTTTGGCCTTGCGGTCCCTTTTCTTCCAGACTGGACCCAAATTAAATAGTCGGTCCATTCTGGAAACTGCTGCTCCAAGCGGTCTCTCTTTCCCAGGCTGGGCCCTATTAGATAGGGCAAATCCAGCATCTCTGTGCAAAGCGGTGCCTTTTTCTTTTTCCTTTCTGTTTTTCCCTAGCCTCACACCAGTACCTCTGCCCCCTCAGACAGGGCGTTGAGTTTGACCGGTGTTCGCCGTGGCCCCTCCCACTCCCACGTTGTTACAAAGGAAAAAAGTTCCATTGCAAAAGACTTCTTAACTGAGCCTGTTGCTATGAAACCCCGCTTCATTTGCCCAGTGCAGTGTATCGCTAAGGAAGGTCATGTGTGTGTTCAAGCAGCACAGAGGAGGAGTTTGTGGTGTCGGACGAAGAGGCAGAGGACAGCGATGGCGACATCCCCTCCAACGAGGACAGCGACCTCGGCCGCCGCACTCGCCGGACCCGCCAGAGACAGACCAAGAGACAGAGCCAGCGCATACGACGGAGACGAGGGCGCAGGGAATACTCTGACGACGACGAAGAGGAGACTGAGGAGGAGGAGGAGGAAATGGGTAAGGGGCCTGGTCAGGGAGAGAGAGGGACACAGTAACACGAGAGTAGTGTCCAGGCATATTGCTCTATCATTTCTCATTGCAGTGCTCTATAGGGAGGTTAATTCATTTCAAAAGAAAAAGAAAATCTCAGTGACTTTGCTTCTGTATATCAAAAGAATAAAAATGATGAATACAATAAGGAGAGTCATTGTTGTCTTCCCCTTATGTAAAGATTATATACAATGTGCAAGATCTGACATGATTTTTCTGAAAGTTCACTTTGTCATTGTGTAGATATGGCATTTAGTGGTCCTTATCCTGACCTATTGAAGCAGATTTAACACCACGTACAGTATCAAGTACTCTTACAGTGAATGAAAGTACAAAAAACAATGTGCGTTTCTTGTCCTGCAGAAAATTAATGAGCTTTGAAATTCCTCATGCTGTTATTTTTGCAGAGCATGGAAAATGTCATTTGTGATTGTCCTTCTTGTTTAGAAAGGGAGGCGTGCCCCCTGAAATGGTTTCAATTAATGGTGTGCTCTCTCTGCGCGTTCAGAGACGGAGCGGTCCAGCGATTACAGCGACGATGACCTGGACCTGCATCGGCGGCGCTCTCGCCGGAGCAAGAGGAAGCCGGTGAATTACTGCGAGACCTCGGAGAGCGAGGGGTCACGCGCAGGGGGCAACCGGGACAAACACAAGTCTCACCGCCGCCGGCTCTCCAGCTCCAGCGAAGGTCAGCCATGGTGTCTGAAGGCTTCGCTCGTCTTCTCCGCTATTGGAGCGCTGAGCACGTCGAGGCGGTCTGTCCTCAGGCTGATTTCTTTGCCATTTTATTTTTGCATATACAGTAATGGTGTGAGGGTAGCAGCTGTGTTGAACTTCCACTGATAAAGAAATTCTGCAAAGTGATGTTTTGTCTACTTTTCTGAGTCCACAAACAGCTCTGAGGATTTAAAGCCAGGATCACAGTCTAACTGATCTCTCTTGCCTTTTTAAATCTCTCAGGGAGTTTCCTTACCAAAGATTCAGAGGAGGATGAGGAGGAAGAGGAAAAGGAAAAGCAGAAGAGAACGAAGACAAGGGGAGAGTCTTCAGAGGAGGACTCGAGGCGCCGGCGGCGGCAGATGCTGAAGAGACGGAAGACCTCGGAGGAAGAGGACGACGACGAAGAGGATTCTGAAGAGGAAGAGGAGCGGCCTGTCCGCAAGAGGCTGAACCGCATCGAGACCGATGAGGAGGACGAGGAGCCTAAGGAGGAGGCTGCACCCGAGAAGGAGCTGACGCAGGAGGAAGGTCAGCGCCTGGGAGGGCTGAAGAAGTCCAACCGGATAACCAGCGATGATGAGGAGGACGGGGAAGCTTTAGGGAAAGAGGAAAGCCCGATGGACTACAACCTGGTGGAGTTGCCTTCAACCAATGGACAGAGCCCAGGAAATGGTCTGGAAGGCTTCATCACAAAACCTGGTGCAGCTGCTAGTCAAATCGTCCATCCAGGTCCCAAGAACAGTGGTGCCCCTGCAGCGTCCAGTACCGCTGCCAACCCCTCCGCCATCCTGGCACCCAATGGCATGGCTGGACAGGAAGTACCCCCTCAAGATGAAGACGAGGATGACCTTTTGGGAGTGACCGACCTGGTGGACTATGTTTGTAATAGTGAACAGCTTTAAGACTGTTTTTTCTTTTGTTCTTTCAGCCCCTCTTCCTTCTTGTAGTATGATATGTACTTCCATGTCAAGGGGCTTGTGTATTCCACAGTAGCTGTTGCTATTGTCCAGACAAGGTTTTATGCAGGTTGGGGCTGACGGAGGTCAGGCCACTTATGGGGAGCCTGTGTGCTCTTCCACTACTCACTACACATACCGAAGTGAAGAAAGATATCAGATTCATCTTGGAGAGCCATTATTTTAACCCCCTTACACATTCTCGAGGATTTTTTTTTTAAAATATGGATTTAGTATTTTAAATTCCCTACGTTGTATATTCTTTGCCTGTTGTTGTCCTTGTACAAATTAACCTTTTTCACTGTAATATTTTTTTTAGATTTCATAAGAAGAAAGGTTCATCACGCTGTGTTTGGAGAAGATTAAATTGGGGAGAGGGCAACAAACTGCATTCCTTTTCTGAAGGGACTTTAGAAAATTTAGGAATTGTCTGCGACAGTAAACCTGTCCCAGTTTTTTTCTAGATAAGTCCACTAGTTTCCAGAATTATTGAATATGGAATAGAGCTACTTTAAAGTTACTGGTGCACGACACCTGGTTAGTAGGAGTTGAATCTGCGTAGCACATTTCACTAGGCTTATGTACACATCATAAGGTATTCGCTTCACTACTTTTAACTAGCTAGTTTAATAGCTATCTCGTATACATGTACTGTATTCCAGTCTCTTTTCCAAAAAGAGCCTCCATTTTTTTTAAAGAAGCAATGTTATCATATTTTTGTAATTTGTGATCTTTGAAATGCAAAACTTCTTCCCCACACGTTTTGTGTTTTAGATAGGCCTTTTAAAAATAATTTATTACAACTATTGTTGACTATTGAGGTGAATTTCTGCCTATGATCTGATATTTTTTTAACTGTTGGGTTATTTCTTGAAATAGCTGACATTGTTAAAATTTCTGTTTGTGACTCAGTGAGAATTGAGCATGCTTTTAAGAATCTCAGTTAAAAACTTTGGAAAGCAAGGAAGATTTTTAGAAGGTTATAGGCAACAATCCTCTGATCAAGGCTGTACATCTTAGCACCAAGGCACTTGAATATGTTTTCTCATGGCCCAGAACAAATTTATATTAAAAACTAGTTTTTATTCACTGTAGTGTCCATTATCTGTGAGTATGTTTACCTTCTCACGAGGTTTAGTTTTGTTTTATTTTTGATTTTTTATCTTTTTGAAGAAGTCTGAATTTATTAATTACCTTGTTTATTCCCTTCTTATATCAGTACAGTCCTAATTACTTTTGTGCATTTTTACAGTATCAGCCAAGGCAGTTTATTTTAATGCTTAAAATGCCAAACTTTTAGACAAGTAAGGGACATCTTTGAGAATCCACATTAATTGCATTTGGAATAAAATACATGTATGCTAAAAAATGTAATGATGAAAACTATTTTTGTTTTACACACTTGGGTATCAAGTTAGATCTCCCTTGAACTATATGTACATGTTGAATTGTCCCTAAACATTTACCTTCGTCTTGCAATATTGCTTTCTTTTTATGCATTTTAAATCTTCAGTGCATCTTGGTAATTGTTAATGAAATCCATAAGCATAAAAAGTGCTCTGGATTAGATTTAGCCATAAAACGTGTTTTGAGAAATCACTACTGTTTTTTTGCTTTTAAAAAACTGTCATTAAGCTGTTTTCTTAGACATTTGCGATATTATTTTGGAACTTGCTTATTGTCTAACACCCCTTCCCTGTAATATACTTCCTATTTGTTCACACTGTTTCTTTTATTTAACCATGCTTTTGTTCTTTATCATATATATATATTTAATTTTTCATTGTCTGACAATCCTCTGTTGAGATACCAGTTTCATCAGTTCATTGACAATACTTACCTGACATAATGTAGGTACTTCGATGTATATGATGGGGAGTTTCAGTTTTCCTTATTCTAAAGTACAGAGAATGGACCAATAGCAATGACATGGCATTCTCAAGATATTTCTCCATCTTGCAGGAGAAAATATCTCATAATGTTTCTGTGTTAGTTTGAAGCACAGTTTGCTGCCACTAGTCAAGGAGCTATAGAAGCTCACATTGATTTCCTAAAGCATAAAGAAGTGCATTATCATAGTTTTTCTCAGTGGCATGAATCCCAGCTTTGACTGGTACTAGAGAAAAACCACAATCACTTCAGACACTTCTCGGTGTTCAAAATTCTGGTCATTGGGCATTCCTGCACACTTCTAGAAAAGTACTACACACCTTTCTGCAGTGAGCAGCAGCAGCCAAATCCTGCTCCACTGTTCTGGCCAGATAAATATTTCATATTGAAACGACACATTGTTTTAGAGGAGGAGCCGAAAGATTTTTTTCATCACTTGCCCCTTTGTACCCCCCAGATGTTGGATTTGAAATCTTGCGCTTTTCGCAAAACGTTTTGTGGCCTACTTTAGCCATTTAGATTTCAGATGTGATGGAGTGGTTAAGAGGGATCAACTTCCAATTCACAACACTGAAAATGGTCTTGTACCATTAGCAGGTGCCTTGGCAGAACTCGTAGAAAACAATATTACAAGTAGTCTTTGTCAAAGACTTTCCATTCTTGGTTTTAGGTGGTACTGAAGAAGTGTATTATTTTAAGGTGGCTGGATTTTATTTCCCATCAATGCAGATTTGTTTTTTTTTTTGTTTATATTGCAACAGTCTTGTTATACTAAATATTTTCAATTATTGTATCAATTCCAATTGTATGTTGGAACATTTCTGAAACAGGGTCACACACCCACCTTGTCCTGTCACTGGTCTTGCCTAGAGCAAGAGCAGTGCCGTGCAGTATCAATTTCGGCTTCAGATGTGCTGTAAACATTTTTCGTTACGTTGCCTGTTACCCGTGGTTTCTTTAGAAATTATGATTCATTAAGTAAATGGAGCACCCTTCTTGTCTCGGTTGAGTTCTCATTTTAAAGGAGTTCTGATGCAAAAGGTCTCGGTGTTCCTCAGCCTGTTACAGAAGGCGATGCCACCCTCTTGGAACTCCAGTGGCAGGTGACCTGGTCCTTAAACTTGGCAGACGTCAGCCCTGTCGCGGGTGGGACGCTGGGTAGCTTTGAAACCATAGTTAGCGTGATTGAATACCTGGAGGGGGCCCAAGATGCACTCATCACCCTGATACCCTGCAGACTTCATTCAGTTTAAGTGTACAGTCTCAAAAATGGCATAACCCTTTTTCTTTGAGAAAAGAAAAAAAAAGATATCTATCTCTTAATTGTGTGTATATTTGTAGTTTATGCTGTAACATATTTAGAAGCTTTTTTTATAATGAAAAGGTATATAAAGCAATTCTTTACAATTGCTACTGTTTATAATTTTTTGTAGCGGGTTGTGATATTTTGCACAACTTTTGTAATGTAAAAAGTTTCAGCATGGTGTTTGATTTCATCCTGCAGACAGTAGTAGTCTTTTTGCTTGAGGGTTCGAGTTTAAACCCACAGACCTGCACCCTTTTCCCTAACTTGTATCCAGCAACATCTCATTTCTTGGTACTGAACTGTGTAGATAATACTAAACCAAGTTACACAGAATTTGTAGTGATGAAGAATATCTGAGTGCAAAGATTAAACATACTCTGTTGTATGTCTGGGATGTATCATTTTGTGTTTTGACAGATGTACGAGACATGTTCCAAGTGACTGAAGACAAAAGCGACTGCTTAGACAAAAATGATCTTAAGTAGTGTGCTTGTTACATGTTTTCTGAGTAACTACAGCAATTTACCAAGAGATATTTTGTAAACTATATAGTATGTCTTGCGCTTACTATACATTTTGTTAGTAATAAAAGGAAAATTGTTTTTTTTTTAAATATCTCAACCTTACCATTAATTTGTTTAGGAACAAGTAATAGGTTTATTCCATGCTGAAAAAAAGAAGAAAGAAAACAACTTTTCGGCCGTAGAACCTTCTTGAAGTTTTCTTTCTTCTTTTTTTCAGCATGGAATAAACCTATTACTTGTTCCTTTGCAGCCTACGCATGCTGACGCAGCTACCTACCTGAATTAATTTGTTTACCCTCGTTTTAGCATTTGAACATAGTGTCCGGTCATATTTAGGCTTTGCATTCTCATGTCCATCAAAGCCTTTTGCAAGGGACTTGCCTTCTGCTGGAGAAAAATATTTGAGAAAATACTGAATTATCAGGAGTGAGAAAGATGTACATGCAGTTTCTCCAACATACTGTTTTTGATACTTTAAATTGAGTCCATGTTGTGTGCTCTCAAGATTTTAAATAGGTCTTCTGTTGCTTTAATTCCACAATTATTGTTGGTCTAAATAAAATAATGGAAAATCAGTGCCAATATTTTTAAGTGTTTAGTGTTGTCTCACTACAGTCTGGTCAAATATTTGTGTATAAGCTAGGCCTTTGGCCGTAGATGTTAGCTCCAGGCCTTAGTCTGTGTAACATTTTTTCTTTGTTTTCTTTCAGAGCGTTTTGTTAAACCTGCTGTAATTTCTTTCGTATAAATAAAACTTGTAAATTTGTCATAAAAAGCTTCATCCTGTCTGCCTTAACTAGTTTCCTATATTACAGCAAAATTCCCAGTGTAGGTTTTTATTTTTGTCTTAAGCCAGCAGCCATATCACCCTGCAACTCACAATTGGCAACCCACTGAAGCTCAGCAGGTGTGAGCCTGGTCAGTACCTGGATAGGAGACGACCTGGGAAAAACGAAGGTTGCTGCTGGAAGAGGTGTTAGTGGGGCCAGCAGGGGGCGATCACCCTGTGGTCCATGTGGGTCCTAATGCCCCAGTGTAGTGATGGGGACACTATACTGTAAACAGGTGCCGTCTTTCGGATGAGATGTAAAACCAAGGTCCTGACTCTCTGGTCATTAAAAAATCCCAGGGTGTTTCTCGAAAAGTGTAGGGGTGTAACAACCTGGCCAAATTTCCCATTGGCCCTTACTAATCATGGCCTCCTAATAATCCCCATCTATGAATTGGCTACATTACTCTGCTCTCATCCTCACTGATAGCTGATGTGTGGTGAGTGTTCTGGAACACTATGGCTGCCGTCGCATCATCCAGGTGGATGCTGCACATTGGTGGTGGTGGAGGGGAGTCCCCATTACCTGTAAAGTGTTTTGAGTGGAGTGTCCAGAAAAGTGCTACATAAGTGTAAGCAATTATTATTATTATAAGACTGTACTGGTTCTGCACTTCAAGTATCTTCAATGAATGTGTATGTGAATTTTACTGCCAGATAGTAAAATCAGAGGGCAGTGTCTTTGCTGTTAACAATAGATGCTATAAGCTTTTTCAGCCACTTCTTTTCGAGCATTAAAAAGACATTTTAAAGTAGCTTTATGTGTCATTTAAGTAACGCTTGGAATCGAGGACGGTAGAATCAAGTTCACAAAGTATGAAAACAGCAGCTTTATAATGATGAAATCGAAAATACAAAGGCGTACTGTATCTGCGTCTGCCAATTGCTTTATTATATATTTTCCATTGTGTAGGAAGTCAACATCGGAAGATTCACATCCAATTACTTTACCGTTACAAACCCGGTGGATGTCATAAGAGAAGTATTAAATCTAGACTTCAATCTGTTTCGGGTAGCGATGTTTATTGAATTTTACGTCTGTGGGAAATATACGATCTCTTAAAAAATAAATCACTCTGGTGAGCTCAAACCTACAGTATGTCTGTTTACAAAGCTGATTCAAAATCCCCAAGTATTCAATTTTTGCGGTATTTTGTTATTACGGTTTTTTTTGCGATAATCCATTCATACAGCAATAGCAATTTCTACAACTGGTACCCTTTCATCATTCTGTCATCACCAAGATTTTTAAAAACAAGGTAATGTTGTACTCGATTCTGTCACAATTTCCTTGTTAAAACAATTTTGGGGCGGTGGTAAACATACAGTTCGTAAACATACCACCATGATACAAAGAGAGTATCACCATGATATAGCGGCAGTTTTTGGTGCAATTGCGTTTTAAAAAGCAATTTAACCAGAGTTCTGCACTCTCGTTTAGAAATCTAGAAAGATCATATGAACTACAGCACCGTGGTTATTTATATAAATGGAATTTAATAATAAAATTCAATGTATTGTGTTCTAAATGTATCTTTATTATGACCTCTAAAGCACACAAAAGTTAATTAACCTAAGAACCTTTGGCCTTAATCAGTTGTCATCTTTGGGACAATGGGCTCTGTACCCAAATCGCTGTTTCCTACAAATTCTGTTAGCAGAGCTGTTATCTGAAGTCTAACCTGCACATAAGCCGTCACATCCGTGAAGATGACTATGAAATGCACTTAATCAACTGCGATCTACTGCTTTCAGACTCACCTTGGTTTTATTTTTTATAAACAGTTTAGGCAATACCAAATTCGTGTTAATCACTTTGAGGAGAGATCTAAAAAGATGTAAGAAATACATGTTCAAGATATGTCTGTATCACCAATGCTCCAATACTTGATATTAATCAACCATCATTGTTATCAGTAACGATGAAGATGGCTAAGGTCTTCAATTGTGCAACTAAACTCCAGTCCTGTAGATGGCGCTATTAAATAATCGTACCGTTCTTTGGCGCTGTGCTCACGTCTTTGACTTCAGGGCAAGCTTGCCCATATGTTTGGCGGGGGATAGCTTCAGAGGAAGAGAAGCAGCCTAGAGAAGCATGGGGTTTGTTTTCCACTGAGCGACTGCGGGAGTGAGGCGACTTTTACGGAGAAACAAACAGACCAGGACTGTACCCTTTTGCTCCAGCCTTTCGTTATAAATACAGCCGTGCGAGTGAAAACTGAATCGCAGTTTTTATTTTTATTTTTTATTTTGCCCTCTGCTTGATCGGATTTCTCGCTGTCGTTTGCGGTTTAGGCCGGCTTTTCTCGGCGATCTGCGGGGCTGTTTCTGTGTCGTTGTTTTTTTAACGGGGGGTCAGGCGCGGCACTTTTCCTTAAGACGATGGTTTTGCTGAAAAACGTCTCCCCTCCCAGTGAAGGCGTCAGGCACCAGCAGGCTGAAACGACGGCAGTGCTGGATGGCAAGGGGCTGGGCTCTGGCACCCTCTACGTTGCAGAAAAGTAAGTGCGCTATCACACGGGTTAGGACTGGTCAACTGAAAACTCTTTTTCGCCTGCCCCTTTGATGTGTGTAAAAAGCGAAAGAGAAACCTGTTTAGGGTGGGAAAAAAAGTTCTTGCCTCATCTCACCCTGCTTCTCCAGATGATCAACAGGTATCTGAGGGGGAAAGGCGACACTGCCCGGTGTGCGATGTCAAACACGTGACAGCGCGCTACACCTGTGATGGCCAAGCACCCCTCGCCAGAAGGAAAACCCCCAACTCTTTCCGATGCGTCGTTTTGTACGATCGTCCTCTCCGATTGTGCCAGCAGTAAAAATGCATCATCAGCAGATGCCAAAAAAACTTTCTCCGGAGTCTTTCTGGAAAAAAAACAACATTTGCGAGTCCGCAGACAAAGATCGCGTCATCGTGGTTTTGCCTGTGATTTCGGACTACTCCTATGCAGTTGGCGCGATTGAGACGTTGGGGGTGTAGGGAGTGACTCGCGTGTGCACCCACCTAATCCGCCACCGTCTTTCTTTTCGTGTGTTTTGTGACAGCCGCCTGTCGTGGTTTGACGTGTCGGGAAAGGGCTTCTCTCTGGAATACCCCTCCATCAGCCTCCACGCCATCTCCCGCGATCTCAGCGCCTATCCCCAGGAGCATCTGTACGTCATGGTCAACGCCAAGCTGAGCGGTGAGGCGGCGTGCTGTTGATGAATGATGACGGGACAGCTGACACTAAGAAAAAAAATCTTTAGAAAGGGACGATCGACTGGCAATCGTAAGGATTACAGTTGAAGTTGGCGGGTGGAATAAAGTAGTTTAGTGATTTGCTCAGATTTGAACAGTTATGAGGAGGAAAAACGCTCCCTCTTGAGAATACATTGGATTCAATAAACCTATTTCTCCAGGCCCATCAATATTCTACATAGTGTAAAAAAATACAGTACAGCCTTGTCCTGCCCAGCAAGCACATGAAGGGCTAAAGTGTGCCTGTTCGGTTCTGGATAACATACTCGTGCATCCATTGCGGCTGAACTAAATTGGCACCAGCATGGCACTCTTTTTTGTAACTACCTGAAAACGGTTTGAAGGGAAGATCGGGGAATAAACCCTGTGCAGTAAAGGAAAAGAGTTGTGGTCTTTCATGCCACCTCAAATGCTGATATTGACTGAACAGGCTTTTGAATATGCAGGAGAGTCCAGCCTTGATGGCCATATCGCAGGTAGATATGTGGAGCTGTGGAGGCATCGCAATACAGCAGTGGGTGGCTTGGGCGGCTGCGTTTATTATTCTGTGCTCGTCAATGCTGCCTTGCACTCTGCTGTAGAGTTATTCTCCTGGTGTTCCCAGCATGAGAGAAGCAAAGAGACCATTCTTTCTTCCCTTAGGGTCGTACAGTCTCAAGCTGTCTTGAACAGCCCCGCACAGATTTCCACCCCGTTCTATAGCCCTCTGCTGAAATAAAAGCGCATTGTTACTCCCAGGGACTCCTGCCAGTCCCCACTGCAGAAAGACATTTAAATAAGCCTGGAAGCTGCTGAGCACAGATAAGTAGCACCCAGCTATAACATAAAATTAAAATGAATGTGATGCTACATTTTAGACAGCTGGTATTGTACTTTGTGTTTGCTGCCATAAAGTGCCGATGTTTATTTTGGTGTAGCTGGAAAAGATTTGTTTAGGAACTAGCAAATGCCTAGTCTGGTTACTTCCACAAGGATACAGGAGATTACCACTAGGAAATCTGAAGAAACTTCGCCTTTCTCTTTTTGACTGGATATTATTTCACTTTTAGTTTATTTAAATGAAAGCAGGACTTCTTTGTATTCAAATATAAAGAACTTACAAAAGCTTCACATTGACTTTGCACTATCGTTGGGTACCTACTAGCAACAATCAGCAGGATGTTACCTCAGTGAACAGCGAAGCAGTGCCATAAATCATAAGGCCTTGTACGTACCTTCCACTGAGGGGCACAGACTGGCAAGGGCTCTCTCTAAAGCCTGCTACATGAGCCTTTTACAAGCTACAGTAACAGTGCCTTTCATCTAAATCCAGCCCCAGCCCCCACTTTTGGCTTAATGCCATCTCTGCCATGTTGGTGTTCACTTGGTCAAACCCATTGAAGTTAACATGAATTATACTGGATCACGGGCCAGGAAGTTTGTTTCTTTTTCGCTTGTTTGGCCTGTTAGCTGTGCATCTATGGTGGTGGAATCTGAGCTGTGCAAAGCCGGTCTCCCAGAAACAAGAGTCCCAGTAGTCTGAGAGGCTTGCCTGCGGTACTGTTCTGTGAAAGTTCTTAAAGTGACGCTTCCCTTTCCAGGCACTGGAGAACGGCACTCCTTAAACCAAGTTTTAATTGTACCTGAACCATTTGGAAGGACAGACGGACCAAAATGATCATGCTCTAGGCTCTCTGCGCAGTGCAAGCCAGCAAGTCAACTAGACCCCTTTGGCTCTCTCTCTGTAGAGGAAGCGTGGCCCTGGCTTGATTTTCTCATCCCTTTCTAGATGAAGAGGTGACAGAATCTCAGATGGAGGAGAAAGCAGCTGAAGGAGAGGATGAGGACGATGAGAGCGATGACGACTCAGACCCCATCACAGAAATCCGATTTGTTCCCAGTGATAAGATGGCGTGTGAGTTTGGAAAAATCTGCCCTTCTGTGCTGTGCTGAGTGCTCAACCTGTCAGTACTTACGATAGCCTACATAGTTGTCAGTGTTTGTAATTTGTTTTTTGGGGGTAAAAAGTTTTTGTGTTTTTCCCTGAGCAGATTAATTTGTGTATAGTCCCAGCTGGTGTGCTTTATAACTTTAGTTTACAGTAAACGACAAATACCATGTAACTGTTAGACTATGGAAGGAGTTTTTGAAGGATTTACGATTGAGTAAACAGGGTGAAAGGTGTACAGGGTAGGATGCTTTAACAAAGATGAGAAAAGCTAATATATATGCTGAAAAGCTAATATTTACACTGAAGACTAAGGTGGTAGGGAAAAAAATGCTGAGGAAAATAGTCAGAAGGTTGAAACTAGAGGTGGTGATGCGTTTGTAGAGGCCTGTGGGAAACTGCATGAATAGGGTTCTGGAACGGTCCTGAAAGAGAATCCTGGCAAGATTGTGGAAGACACCCTGAGAGCGAAGCCTATTCTCTGTGTTGCAGTGGAGCCCATGTTCTCTGCCATGTGTGAGTGCCAGGCACTGCACCCTGACCCTGAGGACTCTGACTCCGATGATGAATTTGAAGGAGAGGAATACGATGTGGAGGAAGCTGGTGAGTTATAGGGCCTGGAGGACAAACTCCTGTAAAACCTTGTTTCAATTTTAAAGTGAATGGCTGTCATTTTTTAGACTGGGGTGCGGTGGCTCTGTGGCTAAGGATCTGCGCCGGTGGCTGGAAGGTTGCCGGTTCAAATCCTGCAGCTATCAGAGGAATCCTACTCCGTTGGGCCCCTGAGCAAGGCCCTTAACCCCAGCTGCTCCAGGGGTGCTGTACAATAGCTGACCCTGCGCTCTGACCCCAAGCTTCTCTCCCTGTCTGTGTGTCTGTGTCTCACGGAGAGCAAGCTGGGGTATGCGAAAAGAAAACTTCCGAATAATTGTATAGGGCTAATAAAGTGATGTTATGTTATAAATTCCACACCTCAGATTCCATATTTGAAATCGGGAGTTTTCCCATTCTTCTTAAACCAGCCCTTGATGAGTCAGCGGCAGTGTTTGTTTGATTTGCATTTGTTTGTAGGTTTTAAAATTTTGGGGGGTTTTATAAAGGGGAACTGCAGTCCCAATTTCTCAGACCGGTTATTCAATCTAATTAACAAAATAAATGGACGAAAAATTGTACAAATTTTGAATTGAGCACCAAATTGCGAACTTCTGTGAAACTACTGCAAGTGGCCTGTGGCTGCAAACTCGCATCCGAGTTCCCACGAATTACGATGTGATGCGGCCCTTCCTGCTCACTAGTTTCCACAATGAGTAATGTAATGCGATGTACAGGTTGTGCAGCCGACATTTCACCACAGAAATATTCCAACGTGATATGCATAATTAAATAAGTAGTACTTGTTGGCAAAACTGTCTCAAAATCTAGAGCAGTATTTCTATCGGGTTAAAAGAGATATATTCACAAACATACTTGTTTACAATGTCATTGGGCCGCTTCACCTCGCCGGAAGTTTTATTGCCTTTCGTTGAATCGCAGAGCATGGTGCTACGCATATTTAATCTGTTTTGTGATATAAATGGGAGGTTTGCCACGTTACTCTGTACATGTTACTAATCAGAGCTAATTCTTTTTAACCCCAACATATAAAAATAGCATTGCAGTTCCCCTTTAAGTGATACCCTTCAAGAATACGGTCCTTCAAGACCAAGACGGGCTGAAAATCCCCACTTTGGAATTCCTTCCGGGTGGAAAGAAGTCAGCAGCCTGTTGCCTTCTGCCTGTGTGCCAAGTAAAGGATTCAAAACTCCATGGTGCTCCTGAAGGTCACCTGCTTCTGTGTATTCTCCGCAGAACAAGGCCAAGGGGACCTGCCTACTTTCTACACGTACGATGAGGGCCTGTCTCACCTGACGGCGGAGGGCCAGGCCACCCTGGAGCGGCTGGAGGGCATGCTGGCGGAGTCCGTGGCGCAGCAGTACCACATGGCCGGGGTGAGGACCGAGGAGACCGCCGGCGATTTCGAAGGTATGTTCGCGGACGGCGATGGCTGGGCCACGTTTTATTTCAGCTGGCATCACGTTGCAGTGTCGCCCTGTAACGCTCTACAGAGCGACATCGGGGCTTGTTCAGTACAAAGCGATCCGCAAGCCACATATTGAAGAGCTGCGTTTGTGGGCTGTAGATGTCTTTTCCGGTTGAGTTCGTGATAACATTTTTCTTGGACTTTGTCATGTGAGGGAAACGTGGCTTCTGGGCCTTCGGTGACAATTTTTTCTCTCTTAGATTCTGCAATGAGCAGTCTAGACTTCGGTGGACATAGCAAGATATGATTGAATTAAAATGCCTCAGGTTCTTGTCTGAGGAAGGGTGTCTAAATTTGTTTCCACAAGGGGGCAAACAGGAGCTTTCAACAGTCTTGAATTCCTTTCTACTAATGCGCTGGATTAGGAGTGTATTCTTGTTCTTTCTCCGGCAGAGATCTCATTTTACGTGGTTTCTAAATTCCTTCAGCATTCCCTTAAACAAAAAGATTTCAGGACTCTTATTGTAAGACTTCTCTTCCATTTTCTGTAGCGAATAAATGCACTTATGCCATGCTGCATATATTTTCTGCAGTGGTTTAGCAGCATTTGCTGTGATAGTGTCTCCATTCTGTTCACCAAAAGGGTCTAGGACCTGCAGTTTGGAGAAATTTGTTGTTGAGTCTGGCGTTATATCGGATGTGTTCTTGCTATTGCCCGTTCCTCTCTAGATGGGATGGAGGTGGATACCAGCTCAGCGGTCGCTGGGCAGTTCGAGGATGCAGATGTGGATCACTGGTAAGTGAGGCAACGCTTAAAATGTTCCCTTGCAAAGGAGAAATGAATTCCACTTAAAATGTTTCTCCTGTTTGTAAAGTTAAATTGGTGATAAAACAGATAAAATACAGTATTTTCTTAATAGGCACAAATTCCATGTAAAATGTCATACACTGCTATACATAAAAACGTTAGGTATTAAAGTATTTTAATACCTAACTTATGTTTATACATTATTTTTATTGCAGTAAAGAGGTTTTTTTTTTAAATGTATTGTGCTTGAAAAGGATCGGGTGAGTCCCACGCATTTTAAATGACAGTTTTACAGTCACAGGATTAGATCTGTGAAAAGCCGTGATTAGATCCCGTGACGTTTTCATAGAGCGATACTAGAAGTAAGACTCTCAAGATGAACATGTTTCCACAGTCGTGCGGCTGTTTGTATTGTAGATGTCATCTTCCATTTCAGATGTGAATATTGCCAGCAGTTAAGACCCACTCTTGGACAGGACGCAATGGAAGGTGGATTATTCTAGAGATTGCAGAAGCCTGCAGCAAACATTCACCAACTAACTGTTTTGTCTGGTAATGTAAAAACAGGACTTTTTTTTGTTGTGTTGTACTTTAACATATTTACTTTTTTTAAATGAAGACCCACGGCCCGCACTCTCCTGTCCCTTGCTCTGACAGGGTTTTTGTCTTTGTATTACATCTGCTCAATAAAAACTAATTTTTGTATGTACATCAGCAGTGGTTGTATGACTCTAGTTTTTAGAGTAAATCAGAAACTGAAAGCACTATCAGGTTGTTGGACTAAAAATAGAAAATAATGTAGATCAATACAGTAGCACAGAGAAAATTAAATGTATAGGCTAGAAATGTGTAATAAGGTCAGTTTTTTAACGAATGTTAATTGAAATGGAGAGCCTGATGTGATCACCAATGACTTTTGAAAATTGAAAATTCTGGTGTTTCATTGGAAAGCACGTACAGTACATAATGCAAAAAGGTGAAACTGCGCTGCAGTGAATGTGGAGTTTTTGGTATGTACAATGTCCCTTTTTTATCTTGTAAGGTTGCTGACATCGAGGCAGCATTTTCCTTTCACGCCTGGGTGACTGTTAAATCATTCAGAAATATTTGTCCTCATTAAAGTAGAAAGCCCCTTTGTATCTCAGACTGCTGCTTAGTCATCCAATTTTGCCCTGTCAGGAAGGCGATAGTGGGGAAAAATGAAAGTGAGTTTGAAATGCGCCACAGTCAACTGCGATACAAACGTTGGTCTGTTCTGCCTGCAGAGCTGACCCAAAACTAGGCCGTGTCACTGCCAAGGCAATCTTGCAGAGCGCTCTTCCAAGCTGTAAAAAGCTTCAGGGGTTTTGTGTAAATGAATAATGACATTATTTTCAACTTGACATTTTTGTCTTATCTGCTATTTCCTCAGATGTTCAGTTTTTCAATATTTTGCCTCCATGTGATGTAATATCCAATTTGATCTCTTGATTTTCTCAAAGCTTTCGCTTTCATTGTGACCTTGTTTTTTTCCCTGATAGCCAGTTGCTCAACAAGTGGTACCTGGAAGCAGATGTGGTATTTAAAATATGCTTCTTTCTTTAGTCGTCATTCTTAATAGAATTCCAGTGCGCACTTGGGGAAATATGAATTCAAGTTGACTATCAAAAGTCATTTGCATCACTTTGATTCACACCAATTAAGAGTATTAAATTTGTTCCCCGAGAAATGCTCTTGTGTGGAAACTAAACTTGACAGTCATGTTTACGTAGCTTTCATAGCTTTATAAAATTGATTCACCTTCACAACAGCTTTTGAACACAGAAGAAGGATTTGCAGAAGGATCAGCTCCGCTTAATAGTTATATAACAGTATCTGAATCGGTGATTAGCCTACTGCAAAACAAACCCCTTGCTCATGTGGTTTAGTTCAGTCGATGCAAATCTACATCTGTGGACGGTAATCAAGATGCATCTTAAACACCGTTTGCATCGTGTGCTGACAAACAAAGTAGGTTTTTGAATGCTGAGATGCCTTCTGTTGTTTTGGGGAAGAGGAGTGTGTAATGAGCAGCTGCACGTCGATGTACTAAAGTTAGCCTTCTTCCAGATCCAATGAAAACGACTGTCCTGAGTCTGCTGGGATTCATTACAGAATGGGTTATGAGATTCTAGGACGTGCCTGCCGTGTTGACAAAGCTTGTCACAGAATTGTTAAATACATGGATCCTCAGCACCTAAACAAGCCAGATTGGCCAAATTAACTCTTCTCATTTGTAACCTGTGTCCTTTATTGCACAATTGTGTTCTGAACAATGGAACGTTTGATCTAAAGCAGCATTTCTCGTACTTTTCCATCACATGGCACTTTTACATCAATATAAAAAACAAATTTGTGGTACACCGCCCCCTCCCCGCACCCCCACATACTCCTCAAAGCACCTAATAACATTTATTTCCGTCTTTAATCTGAGGTTCCTCGAAGTGCATAGTTCTTCCTGTTAGGAAATGGTGAATGTCAAACAAAGAGGTCTTGCTCGGCTGCTTATTTCTGTTTTTGTTTATTGTTACCCTAAAACTTGAAAAAGTCGCAGCACGCGATTCCCAGGTGTGCAGCCTTAAGAAAGTGGCTCGTGTACATTTTTTCTCGGATGTGACTTTTGACAAATTCTGTGGCGCGCCCATTACAGTCAAGGCACAGTTTCAGATTCCAGTGCTCTGGGAGTTCTAGTGAGCTTTTTGCGTTCGTTGTCTTTAATCACTCGTACTTGACGTTGAGCCTGCGAACTTAAAGCAATGGCTCGTTTCACTTTTCTCATGCAGGATTCTGAACCCAAAATTAATTTTTGTATGGAATGTTTCTGAACCTGTCTCAGTACTGGAGAATCACGTATTCAGAGTCCTTTCCCTGCACATTGAAACATCGGTATAGCCTTTAATCCAGTCTGCCACTTTACTGGCAAGTGAAATCTCTAGGCTCAGAGACATACCCACTGTCTTGTTTTTCTGCTTTAAAATTCAAAAAAGAGGTCCAGGCACAATTTATTTCTCTCTCCTAGAAATTGTCATGTTCTATTTAGATGCATATACTGCTAAAAAGTCACCTGCTCTCTGGTTCTGCCACAGAAGTCTGTTAAGGATATGAACTCAAACCTATTTCTGATTTCCCGAGTTTTAAAAAGATACGGTTTTGCAACATTTTAAAGTTAGGATTTGCAGCACATAGCAGCACTTGAATTACTTCCCAAGCCCCAGTTATACTCTTTGAGCTTTCTATTAGCTTATTCAGTACTTGAGAGTGTACTTAACCATGCACAAAAAGAAAGTAGAAATAAAAGGGAAAGGGGGGGAAAAATACTCCATTCTCTGTAGAAGCATTTCAGGAGGTCCAAGAGGGCCACAGTTGTCCAGGTTTTCCAGTTGATTTGTCATCTTGGGTGAGTCATTACAATGCTACGGTGGTAGTAATGAACAGCTGATTCATGTCAAGTCATTGAGAGCCCTGGATGAACTGAATACTCGAAGTCACAGCTGCCCCACTGTCAAGAACATCACGCAAGCATGCAAGCGCTCCCGCATTCCCACGAGCTCCAGTCACCCTACACGCCCCTGCACCAATTAACACCACTCTCTGTTTCAACCCTCGCTCTCCTCTTCATCCTTGCTAACTCTTGAGGTCTCCTCAATGCGCTCAGAAGCTAGTTACCTAGTCTCTCCAATCGTTTGTGTTCCCTTTTGGCTACTGACTCGGTACTCTCCTTCTGAGCACGACTTCGCCTCTTGTTTTTGGTACTTCTTCGAGTTGGAACCTTTCTGGCTTTGACTCCTTACTTTCGCTTAAAGACCACGACTTCGTCTCTCGTTAGGCACTGTTTTGGAACTCGATCTACCTCCTGACCAGTCTCCGCCGGACTGCCTCATGCCACCCAGAGGAAGAGGAGTGTCTGTTAGTGCTGTGCAGATTGACTACTTGTTAAGCTCCCCATCAAATAAACACTGTATTTAATAAAGTATAGATTTATCAATGTTTTGATTAAATAATTACAAGCAGTTATTAATGCCCTTTACTAGTCTGTACAGCTGTTTCAGTGTTTATTTTTAGTCACAGGACATCACTTTAATACATTTGATTAATTCAGACTCCCCAGCTGAAAACAGAAATCTTCTAATTCCCAAGATGCTTTTCACTTAGCATCTCCGCAACTACAGTGTTTTGCTTCATCAGTCTCCCAAGCACAGTTTACAGGAGATGCTGATCACCAATTCCATAGCCTGTGATACTGCCGTGGCCTGTATCTCTGTCTTACACTTTACCAACGGATACATCTGTATAAGGTCAGGCTGCACATCTGTTTTCCCTAGTTGTTGAACGAGAATCCTGTGAAAGCGGAACTGAACTGTTGCATGTAGTCACTACTTCCACTACAGAGCAACAGATCAGTCAATATTAAATTTAATCATCATCAGACAGGCACAAATCAAATATTAGTATTAAAGTCATTTTGCTTGAAATGATCTGTGGGGAAAAAGCCAAAAGGTTTCTTTTTAAAATAAAACAGGCACACAGATGCAGGTAAATTTTAAAATAACTTTTATTCTGTGATAATGTAATCTTTCCATTACATTATTCTATAATGAAGAGATTTTAAAATATAACTTCAGGCTTACAGAAACTGAAACAACAAGTCTGGTACTTTTGCTTTGACTGCAGGTCACTGAGAGCTCGAACACATTCCAGTTCATTTGGGAGGCACCCAAATCACCCAATCACTCAGTATCATCTCTTTAATCATTTACTTAACAAGCTTGCATTCCAAACATGTATCTGTTTGCACGGTTTCATTTTTGTGTACACGCATTTAAAAGAATGTGAACATTTGGAATGTTAAATCCCATACCCAATCCCATGACCAAAGTTTTTCTTTAAGCATCTCTAAAGTGCGCTGCAAGCATTTGTTTATATGGTAAATCGATCGTTAATACTCCTAGAAATGCTAACTAGATTTACATACAGTATCGACATAAGTTTGAGAAATATTTCTTCATTTTGTTGTGCTTTTGTTTCTAGACAAAAGACAAATATACAAACCCCTTTAAAATCTGTATGTATGAAGCCATAACTGTCTGGTAGTATTCAATACATTTTCAGTGATATCTGCATTTCAACTACAGATATTAGATATTTCAAACAAAAGTTTTTAAAAAAACACCATGGTATGTGAGATTAATTCCCCCACCTACTTTGCTGCTTATTCTATTCAGGGTATACATAAATTATAATATTGTGTTTTTAATGTAAATTATAAAAAAACATTACAACAGGCATCAATATAACCTTAGGACGAAAGCTTTGTAATAGTTTGTATTCAGACAGGATTGAAATTTTATGTGATCACCAGTGTGTAATACAAATAATTAATAATAATAATATGGCGTAATCTCAGACAAAAATGGGCCATTTAAAGAATTTAAGAGAAAAAAGATACAAGACAGCATACATCTCTGTCTCCTTAAATGTCACCTGAATGCAGATCCACTTCATTGAAGTCATTTTGCACTACCACATCATCCCTTCATCATGTATATTTTATTATGATTGTTATGAAAGTTAACAGCAGTGTCACCACCTTGTACATCAGAAGACCACATCTCACAAGCTAATCAAAACTGGGCCTGGTCAGTACTGGGATGGGAGACCTCCAAGGAAAACAAGTTTGCTGCTACTAATAACTAAATGACTGCTTGGTCATTAAAGATTCCAGTATTCCGTTCATAAGAGTAGGGATAAGTGAATTTCTTATTTCTGCATCTGGTCTGTATAGAGGAGATGCTGGATTATAATGGCTATAATGGAGATGTTTGTGACACTTGAGTAGTGTTGGTCCCTATATACACATACTATATGTATATGTGGTATTGAAAAAAATCTGGTTTATTTAGGATGTAAAGTACAGGGTTAGTCAAAATGCTGTTGACAACTTTTGAAACCTTTTTTGTCACAGTAACTCATGCAATTAATTTGTAATAAACCGTCAAAGTTTCTAAGTTACCTTACAATCCTTTGCCATTTATACTTGTCTACAACATTAACCCTGTACTATGTTAATGCTATACAATACAAAGTGTCAATAATTACAATGACACTTTTTCATGAATCAGTACATTCTAAGTCAGCTGTATACATGAAAAAACCAGAAACTAAGACATCCTTTGCATTCAGCCTTGGACAAGGTCAGAACATTCTACACTGGCTGCCCAGATCTGGCACCTCTGGACTTCAAGTTGTTTTTCTGAAGGATCAAAAGCTTAAGACTTTAGTGTTAAATCAGACCAATTCTGGAAATAATTCATTTAGGTAAATCAAGTGGTTGTAGCAAAACCTGAAGTAAAAGTAAATCAGTGCAGAACAGAAAGCACAGATTTTAGGACATGTGTCCGATATTCTTATATTGGAATGTTACACAATATTTGCATACATCTTGAGACTTAAGCAGGGACTACTTCTGACTTAATATATTTAATATTAGACTTTCTAATATTTTGAATAATATTCTAAAACCTCAATTAAAAATACCAAAAGCAAATTGTGGTACAACTCTTAGGAAGCTATTTAAAGCACCAGTTTTGGCTCTGTGCACTGTGAACAGAGTACTGCCTTACTGTGATCTAGGTACTGCATTGTACAGCCCTACACATTGTCGTAAAACAACGCAGTTCAATTTTGCATTTTAAAGCTGTATGTGCATATTGCAGTAAACTGCAGTATTTTCTTTTCAGTATGACACCATTTACTGTATCTTTTTAGTTTGTGTCCGAGGAAATTCCATCATTTTTTGTGTCCCACCATTCCCATGTAAAAGTGGAATGACCTTGTCAAAAAGCAGCACAGAACTAGCCGTTCCTGGAAAATGAAAAAAAAAGAAAAAACCGTGAAAGGAGCAGACTCACCAGGTTTTGAAATACAGGATATAAGTCTTAAATAAAATGCCTTTGTGTGCTTTATTTTACTGTAGATTACAGCAATGCAGGTGAATTTGTCTTTCAAAGTGCTTAATGTATCAAAAATGTCTGAACCTATTTAAATTTTAATTTCTTGGCCGACTGACTAAGTTGAAAAGAACATAATGCAACAATTTACATAATGTATGTAGCAAATGTTTCCTGATTTTTTACTTGGAACCTTTTGTTACCGTAATTTACTGAAACCACAAGAAATACAGTCCACACAAATCATGTGGTCATGTGCTTCCTTACTAAAAGCCTTCTATACTTCATAAAGCTTCAACCACGGAACTTGGTTAAAAGTATCGTTTACCATCTGTTTTTGAATCGTTAAAGCGTGATTCGGCTTAAGAGCCTTTAGAACTGTTCGAAGCTAATGTGTTACGCTCTCAGAAGTAAGAGAAAATCACTTTTCCTCTTACCTAGTACTGGGCCCAGCCAGTAGACGAAGGCATACTCCATGAGGGTGTTGCCACTACAGTGAAAGCAAGTGGAGAAGGCCAGTGCAGGGTTGAACACAGCTCCGGACACATGGCCCCCTGTAAAACACACCACGAGCCAGCAGTCAGGATATCTGAGGTGAAGAAGCCGTGCGACTGAAGTAAAACCCGATTTCTAGGATAGAAGCATGGACATCGGGTTTGCAGCAACCTGGTAGACACCAGTGCTACGCTGTCATAGAGGCATAACACTGACAGGGTCCAGATCACATTCATCCATCTAGCCAAGGGAAAAAAAAATGCCCGATGGAACAAATCGTAATGCGCAAAAAACAAGGTCTTCTTTAACAACATTTTAAAAGTTGCAGTAATTCATTTTCCTTTTTTTAACAATGTTAACTAGTAAAGGTGAATTTAAAGAAACCCTATGAATGTCATTAAAGTACTGTACCCCATTCAAATTGTAACTCATGCTTTTCTTCATGGGTCTGAAATACAGCTGGGCAAATTTACTGCACCCTTGTTGCGTCGGGTACCACCTTTGGAATTTAAATGCATTATTACTTAGAGGGAGCTGATTCCTGAATCCATGGACTGTACATATCGGATTGCTTCAGTCTATAGAGATTATTGATTCTGTTGACAGCAAGAGCCACTGGTTTGCCCTTGAGACAGTAGATTGGAACACAAACACACGCATTGATTCTCGACTGCCATTAACTGCTCATGAATACATTCAACAAACACGGGGTACATTTCTATAATGAGCTTTTTAGTTGTAAGAAAAGTCAATTTCTGCTCAGTTGTGTAAAAATCTTTTGCATCTGCACAAACCTTTTTTTGAGGAATAAATCATTTTATGCCACCATTGATTGCATCTTACGAGACAAAGCAGCACCAGGAATCATGGCATGTTGTATGCACTGCACAGAGCACACTTCACTTGGCCATGCATGCATATCCTAGGATTCAATTTGTAACTTTCACTCTAGGCTATCGACATTGCTGTGACAGAGTGTGTCAGGCCACACATTCACATACAAAACAAACCTGTTTTACAGTGCAGTGAAAATGAAAGTGGATGAAATCAATATAAAGCCTTTATGTACAGTATATACTGTATATTCAGGGATTCAATTTGTAGCTCATTTTCTCAATCCATATATGAAGGGCTAAATAATTTGCCATACCAAATTTGTAGAATCCAAAACCAGACTCCCTTCCAGTCGTTTAATTCAAATGTATTAACGAAAAGAAAGTTAATGCCATGGATACTTCTGAAAAGCCTAGAACATGCAAAGAAGTACCACACTTTAAGATTTGAAAGGAACAGGTAAAGGTTTATTCCATGCTGAAAAGAAAAGAAACACAACGTTTGACACCTGAAAAAGGCACAACAGCCGAAATGTTGTGTCTCTTTTCTTTCCAGCATGTAGTAAACCTTTACCTGTTCATCGCAGCCTGTGCATGCTGACATACCTACTGTACCTACTTGAACTGCTTTAAGACTTCGGCACGTTCAGCCATGGCCTTTCCTTAATTTGACAAGTTGAGAAGGCATCTGAGATCCTAGTGATGATATGGACATACTTGCTTCAAGTGACTAAAAATTCAAGTTAGTGTCACTTGTTCAGTTAAAGCTCTTAATAAAGCCACAAACAACCTATTATTTGAATGATAATTTATGCAACGTGCAATTCCGTAACTGAAAATTATTATGTAAACTGCCAATTAAAGACGGACGTGAACCAAACAAAAAGTCTGCAAACGAGTTGTAATAAAGTTATTCCATGTAATGGATAACTTGGAGACAATGTCTGCATCCCGCTGTAAAGAAGAAAGTTAAAAGTGTCATTTTTAGGTCACAGATGTTAAATAAGGCAGCAAACAAACCTGCGTAGACCAGGAGTGTGATGACAGCAGCTATAACGTGGATGTGATACTTTCCGTCCAGTTTGTGCAAGTGAGTGACAGTGCTCTGCATCACGAACGCACAACACAGCTCCACTCCCGCAGCCTTGAGGAGCGTGTCTCGTATCGGACTGCTGCACTGAAAGCCAGACAGCTCATGCTGGAGGTGCCAATCCGAGAGGCCTAAAGACCAGATGTGGGGGAGCAGCAAACGTGCAATCGAAGCAGCCAGAAACTGGCAGGCGATTCTCGCGATGGTGCCCAGACCTGTCAGCTTCCTCCGGTAAGCTTGCTCCAAAGTACTCGAGGGGTTGCAGATCTCTGTCTGGAATGTTAATCCATGGACCACTGACATTACGTAGGTCAGAGTCAGTCCTATTTGCGATTCTATCCTGCCTACCTCGGCCATGAGTATTAGCTCGTGGCAGCAAGCACACAGCTGAAAGGTTCGCTAAGAGCCTTCCTGTCAGCCTCCTTGCCCCTTCACTGAAAAGTACAATCAGTGCCAGCTCTAACAGGGAAACCAAGAGATCCGCCATTTGAGCAGGATGGTTCTCCAGCTTTGATCACCCAACTCTTACACCAGCAGTGAGGTCAAAACTGTGATTTTGTCTCCTGCGGTAGTCGCAACAATTTTCAAATGTGAACTTCCAGGCTGTCTAGGCTTTTGCTATGAGCTTCTTTTTAATAGCCCAGCCTGTGTGGGTGTTCCTTCATGCCAGGAAACAAACCTGTTCCACAACAGTAAAAGGTAAAGTGATGGCATGCTGGTGTACTGCTCTGCCAGTCCTGCCTTCTCATTAAGCTGTCCCTGCCTGTTTGTGTACACATGTGCCTGTCCTACACTGGAAGGACAGGCTCAGGAATGTCTCGGCGAATGTCTTGTTAACGGATGGATTAAACTGAGGGAAATTCAGAACGTCAGTGTCTGAACCTCAAAAGATAGACGGGGCATATATCTGCATTTTAAATCAGTTTCACCGTTTTCTTCACCTTTTTTTCAAATGACCGACTTTTCAGATTATGGCGGGTTGTCATCAAGGTCGAATGTGTTATTTCCCGTTACCGCTCTCTGCTATTGAAGTCATTTATCTCATCTATCGTCTTCAGTGCCCTGTCCAACAGATTCTCTTTGATAATGGGGCACGTCCCGGCACAGAATGCGGTTTGTTTTTCTTAGCATAACTTTTCTTTACGCACACATTTTTCCAAGCAATTACACGCCTTTAGTGCCCCGCGATGGACTGGCGTCCCGTCCGGGGTGTACGCCGCTTGGCGCGCGTTGCATGCTGGGATAGGCTCCGGCTCCCCCCCGACCTTGCATTGAATGTAGCGGTTAGGAAACGCATTAAATTATCAAAAGCATTGAAAGAACGTTCTAGCCGAAATTAGTTCCGCGTTATCTGTAATATATTCATTTTTTGTAATTTAAAAATGCCTCATTTGCCTCAGATGTACACAAGACTCTGAGCAGGGTGAAAATCCGTAAGGCTGCAGGGCCTGATGGGATACCACCGCGCCTCCTGAGGACATGTGCAGCCCAGCTGACCACAGTGTTTACAGGCATCATTAACTGCTCCCCATCACAGTCCATGGTCCCCACCTGCTTTAAAAAAAACACTATTGTTCCACTCCCCAAAAAGGCAAAAGTGACATGCCTGAACGATTACCGCCCAGTAGCATTAACATCTGTGGTGATGAAATGCCTGGAGAAGCTGGTGTTGTCACACATCAACTCCTCCATCACAGAGTCCCTGGACCCCTTGCAGTTCGCCTACCAGAACAACAGATCAGTGGATGATGCTGTCTCCCTGGCTCTGCATACAGCCTTGGAACACCTGGACCCTAAGGACTCGTATGTGAGAATGCTGTTTGCGGACTACAGTTCAGCATTCAATTCCATCATACCCAGTCAACTGGTGACAAAGCTCAGGGGATTAGGTCTGTGCAACTCTGTCTGCAACTGGCTGCTGGACTTTCTTATCGAGAGACCACAGGTGGTGCGGATAGGCAATAAAACATCAACACCACTCACCCTGAGCACTGGAACCCCACAAGGCTGTTGTCTGAGTCCAAGGTTGTACTCCCTGTTCACTCACGACTGCACAGCAAGACACGGCAACAACCGCATCATTAAGTTTGCAGATGACACCACTATAATAGGACTGATCAGTGATGATGACGAGTCCACTTACAGGGATGAAGTTGTACAGCTGCTTAGGTGGTGTCATAGCAATAACCTGGACTTGAACGTAAATAAAACGAAGGAGCTAATAGTGGACTTTCAGAGACACAGGCCACACACTCACAGCCCACTCAGTATTGATGGAACGGAAGTGGAAACAGTCACCAGCTTTAGGTTTTTGGGAATTCACATCTCTAAAGATCTAACCTGGACTGTGAACACTGACTCTATTATGAAGAAGGCTCAGCAGCCTTCTTCACCCCACTGCCCTCAGGCAAGAGATATAAGAGCATACGGACTCTGACCACCAGATTCTTCAATAGCTTCTATCCACAAGCAGTGAGACTGGCGAACACATTTAGCCATCCCCCTCGGACCACACCTACACCATCTACCTCATTATGATTTCTTATTTATTGCACATCTCCAGTCATTGTTTGCACGTCTGTATTGTTTACATTAAAACTGTCTACATGTTTACTTGTACATTGTCTACTGTTTGTTTGTATATTGTCTTGATGCACTGTTTGCACTTTGTGTTTTTACACTTGTTTTACAATCGAGAGACTTTCTGTAAGTAAGAATTCCATTGTACCAGTACATGTACCGGTTACATATGGCAATAAAGTTCAAGTTCAAGTTTAGATATAATTGTGTCTCTATAATGTCCTCCATGTACTCTGGGATCCTCTTTGTACTCAGATTAGGTCTATGGGAGGAGATGTGCGAAACGTTTGGGATACAGTTGCTGAAAGCAGCAACTTTAGTTGGTTGCAACTACAGAGACAGTCCGGACGTGACTGTATCGACTTGCAATCTTAGATCTATGGCTTACTGAGTCAGTTTATCGTGGTCAGGGTAAAAAAAAATGTCTTCTGAGACGCCAACTACAAATCCCACTGATTTCGATGAATCCCTCTGGTGAAAAGAATCTCCAGCTGAGAGGCGGATGCTGGAAAGATCTATTTGCATGAAATTGCCACCTGTGTGGTATATTTCTTTTATTTGTGTAAACGACTGAAAACGTTTGTGGGCTGCTGACTGACTTTGCTGATAGTTCGGCAGTCTCGGAGCCCCGCTAAAAGCAGGCGAGTGAGGAATTTGTAATTCAAATCAATTATTTGAATGATAATTTATGCAACATGCAATTCCGTAACTGCAATTATGTAAACTGGCAATTAAAGACGGACGTGAACCAAAAAAAAGTCTGTAACGGCAACCGATTTGTAACAAAGTTATTCCATGTAATGGATAACATGGAGACAATGTCTTCATCCCGCTGCAAAGCAAAACCTTAAAAGTGGCATTTTTAGGTCACAGATGTTAAATAAGGCAGCAAACAAACCTGCGTAGACCAGGAGTGTGATGACAGCAGCTATAACGTGGATGTGATACTTTCCGTCCAGTTTGTGCAAGTGAGTGACAGTGCTCTGCATCACGAACGCACAACACAGCTCCACTCCCGCAGCCTTGAGGAGCGTGTCTCGTATCGGACTGCCGCACTGAAAGCCAGACAGCTCATGCTGGAGGTGCCAATCCGAGAGTCCTAAAGACCAGATGTGTGGGAGCAGCAAACGTGCAATCGAAGCGGCCAGAAACTGGCAGGCGATCCTCGCTACGACGCTTTTTTCTGTCAAGTTCCCCCGGTAAAACTGCTCCAAGGCACCGGAGGGGTTGCAGAAGGCTCCGTGGAAAGTTAATACGTGGACCACCGTGATGAGGTAGGTTAGAGTCAGTCCTATCTGCGGCTCGACCCTTCCCACCTCCCCCACGAGTTTCAGCTCATGGGTGCAAGCGCACAGCTGAAAGGTCGAGATGATCTCCACCACATAGACAGCATAATCCTTTCCAGCAAGTAACCTCGTCGCAGTCCTCCTCGTCACTTCACTGAGAAGCACTGTCGCCGCCAGCAGTAACAGGGAAACGGATAGATAGGCCATTGGAAGCCGACGGTCCTCCAGCCCCGCTTTTGCCCAAGCAAGCGAATGTGATTTACGAAGTCAGACAGCTCCGCTCATGGATATTCCGCGCTATCGGGTTCAGTGCATTAAGCTCTAAAGTCCACACGGCTGCGGTGGACTTAGACCCCCTCTCACCCTCATACGGAAGTTGCTGCCGCAGAACTAGTACTGCACATGCGAGTTTCAGTAGTGTCACTAGAGGGCGCAATAAGCAAGATTGAGGACAGGCGGCGCGTAACGCTAAATGGTTTCTACAACTAAAACAGGGGATTCAATTAATTCATTAAAAAATCTGACTTATTTTTCACGAAAGCAAAGCTTAAAAATAGCATATTATACAATAAAAACAGAAAGGAGAAGAAAGCTACTCAGCGCAGGAAAAAATCAAATTTATTACATTTGATAAATACTGAAACGCCTTACAGTAATATTACTGGGGAAGACGACATCAGATTGTATGCGTTTTGTTTTAACGTGAAAACGCTACCCGCTACCTGTAAAATAAATTACGTCTGCCCCTCTTGAGAATACAGTTGAGAATGAAAAACCAGTCACAGTTTCGGTAAAGACCAGAGTGACTCATGTAGATAGTGTAGTCTGTGCTACTTCAAGAATAAGTGATTTATAATTGAAATGAGTTGTCTGGTAGTCATGTAGTAACCTAGCTTCTTTCATGAAACGATTAGATAAAATCTAAAAAATCAACTGGCCCGTGAAACACGCAATGAGCTGAATGTCGCCTTTCATTCTTGCCTGTTCATATGCTTTTGGATCAGCAAAAACGGACTTTCATCAGCTCAGAACACTACTGCTACGTTTTACAGTATTCTTCGCTTTTTACTGTAAATGTAACCGTGCAGACGATATCGCACTTGATTTAACCGTTTCGCATAAGCATTGCGTAAACTGTTCTTTAGAGATAAGGTGCCTTCGGTTCATATTGACGTGACAAGATACATGGAAGTCAAATTAAAACACTTTAAATACAAGCATCAGTAACCAACAGAACTATGAAAAACCCAGGAAAGCAGAACATCACAATACTTCTTGTGAAAACCCGTGTATCCCCAGAGCATCATGATTTTTTTAAAGAATGCAAAACAGATTACCAAAATAACGGAATTGTTAATATTATTGGTTTAATAAAAGGTTAACAACAAGACAAATGTTAACATTAACTAACAAGACAATTTTTTAAATGTTAACAAACAAGACTAACCTGTTACTATTAATGCAAACTTAACTGCCTGCGTTCTGTCGCAATATTCCTCTCATTTTTTCTTCTGACCGTCTGTACACCAACACTGCTGCTGGGGATAATAAAGACTCTGCTAAACGATATTTTCTTTCTCATGGAGTTTATTACTAAGTCATGCAAAAATCAGTACTGTAGTTCTATATAAAATATAAAAATAATATTTATAGGCTACAATCTATGATTTATGTGTTTACTTGAAGCGCCTTATCTAAACGAGAACCCTGCCACGTTTAAATTCGACTGTAACTTCAAATCCACAGACTTGCAGAATTGTAGCCAGCAGATGGCAGCACAGGCACCCTTCAGAGACCTCCCTCTCTCACCTGTAGCGATCCAGCTAGATTTCAGCATCACGAAAGGCAAGTTCAAATCTGCTGAACAGAGGAGGAAAATACACAATAATTTGTATAATCCAACGAAGTTATTTTTTTAGCTTTACAGGTTATCAGGTTTTCGAATAAAATGCCGGAGAACGTGTTGCACTGCAAACGTTTCAAGATTGGTCTTTATCGAACAATACTTTCACAGACCAGTATAAACCGAGTAGGAAGCCCAATGAACCCAAATGCTTTTTTATCGAAACAATAATACATATAATACACAGAGTAAAAATCCACTGAAGACCTTTTTGTCCAGCAGAAGAGGAGTTTATTGTGTATTTGGGCAAAGAGAAGCACCCTCCTTGCAAATAGGAAGATGGGTCTAACAAGAAAAATATACAGCTGACCTTTTATACAATTGCTTGATAAGGAACACAAAGAGCCCAAGTCTCAAAAAGAAAAACAAAAGCTTCAGTCTTAATTAATTTATATTGGTTAAGAAAGCTTCTAAATAAAGCAAATAAAGCATTTAAATAAAGCAAATGTTCGTTGTTCATATATAATTATTCACTAGCTCGTAATAAAGTTTCATACCAATTAAGGAACAGCTCTGATGCATGAGAGACTGTGGAGTGATTTACAAACGGATCCTGCGGTATTCTAAGATGTCTGCGTAATTGAGCTATATCAGTGTTTTCTAGAAGCAGGTAGTCACAATTGGCCTTCTACACAAAAATAATTCTTTGGGATTCTTAAAACAAGCATTCTTTGTGCCTGCAGGTCCCTCGTCTTATCAACAGCAGATACATTAAATATTGCAGCTGGTGTTTTGCTGAACATGCTGTACAGAGAAAGAATTGTTAACCCTTCACACACAAGAGTACACATACCATCATCAGGAGTAATTAGCACAGTTGGCTCTTACGAGAAAAAGTTAAATGAGGTAAATAACGATAAGGTACGCACACTTTCATATTTATATATTTAGAAATAGCTTGGAGATATCCACCCATGTGCATTTTAAAGGCTTCAGATGTGGGTCTCTTCCCAGACCATGTCATTTGAGCCCCACGCTAATATCTTCCTCTTCCAGAACTATAGACTTATTTTACTTTGCTCTTCGGCTTGTGTGTCGATTTTGTTTACACTGTCTGCACAACACAACCATTTTAAAACAATGAAAAGCAGAAAGAGTAAATTGTGTTATATATACTAAATAGCCTTACATTAAATTAGATAATTAAATAGCCTGTTATTACACAATACAGGAATTATTTGTCCAAGATAGAAACCGAATAATATTAATAATTCCTTACATTTATACAGCTCTGGACACGCCACTCAAAGTGCTTTACAGGTAATTCCCCTCCACACCAATGTGTATCACCTACGTGGATGATGCTACAGCAGCCAAAATGCGCCAGTCTGCTCACCACACGCCAGCTATCAGTGGGGAGGAGAACAGAGTGAAGAAGCCAGTTCTTGGATGGTTCTTACCATGATTGGTAAAGACTAAGAAAGACACCTGGGTTGATATCCCTACTCTTTTTGAGAAATGCCCTGGTATCTTCCATGATCACTATCAGTCAGGATGTTAGTTTTACATCTCAACTGTAGGACAGCACGTTATTGCAGTCTAGTGTTCCCATGACTATACTGGGGCATTAGAACTCACACAGACCGCAGGGTGAGCGCCCCCTACTGACCCCATTAACACTTCTTCCAGCAACAACCTTAGCTTTCCCAGGAGGGCTCTCTTCCAGATACTGGCCAGGCTCACACCTGCTTAGATTCAGTGAGTTACCATTCGCGAAGTGGAGGATGAGATAGGTGCTGGAGATCTAGCGAGGTTTGTTTGGATTTATTTATTTTTTTACCAATAAATTCCCTGCATATTCTTAGATATTATACATTTCTAAATCAAAGACTATATGCCTAAGCCTAGCTTGGGTTCCTATTGGCTGCTTAATAAACTCTTGAAGTTGTAAAGCCTGTATCATCGTTATGGTGACATCATTTATGGCTTTCGAAAACCGTGCAAATGACGTCAACATACATAACGTCAGCACCAGCCGGCCATGGAACCACACTCCTGGGAGCCTCGCGGAAGATTCCTGGGGTCCGCCTTGCTCCGAAGACGGATGTGAGGGGAGATCAATGATTGCAAGGTAAAATCTGGGAGTGACCAGTTGCATATGGGTAGGCTGCGTGGTGGGAGGGCGTTGCTATGTAGCATGTTCGTCTGTGCCTGACAATAGCTGGCGGTAGGGAAGCTTGCGGTGAAGAAAGGAGGAACTGAGAGCAGGCAGAATCAGGAGGGTGTGTGGCTGGCGAGGGAGAGAGACGTGCAGTGGGGATTTCTGTCTTAACACAATTAGATGTGAGTATTGACATTTGCAGTCTTAAATATTTCTTCGCTTTCTTTGTGCTGGGCCGTGTTAGGGGCTGTCTCGCCTGGCCGAAGCGCAAGACAGAGACTGTTATATGAGCTGTATGAGACTAGCATGCCCAATGCTCTGACTGGACAAATGTGAAGCACTCCTCACAGACTTGATTCTTTTTTTTTTATGGTGCTGATTGCAACTTTATTTCAAAGGGGCAGCGCGATTCTCCCGCAAAACTTCGCTTATGTCGCAAGTCCATAAAATTTTTCATTTATTCTGCTCCACCATTTTAACTTTCCATTTTTTCTGCATATAGTTGCTTAAAAATTTTGATTTTCTTTTTCATCAGTGTTAGCGAAGTGATCGGCACGCAGACCATCGTATGCATTTTTTTTCAATTAAAAAGTGTGTTCTTAGCTTCGAGTTTTTTAAAGAAAACTTCGCAGTACAAAAAAAACAAACAAAACGAGTACAATATTAGGAATCTCAACCGTTTTAAACGATCAAGATGCACCAAATAGACACAATGCATGGTATACAATTCTTCCCGTCTCGTATTTCAAGCGTGTGCTATAGATAAGTTTAATACGGCTACCCAATCAAATCATTAATGGTATTAGTTTCTTCTGCTCCGTTTCTTTTTTTCTCTTGAATCAACATGTTCGCGTTGCGGATCGATCGCTAGGAGTGGGTCAATTATGTAGAATCGGAAGTAGTTTCACGGTTTGTGAATGCTCCTGGCTGTTTTTGAATTGTGCAGAATTTAAGGCGCTGTTTTAAAAGCAAAACCTCAACAACTGGATGTGATGGGCTATTTAAAACCAGGAAAATAAGCACGTCCGATAAATAACGGAGTGCAGTCACATTTTGCTTCCCGACACTGGGATTTTGCGTATTTAGTTCTTGTCCTGTTAACAGTTTTTAGTAATCATCTAATATTCGTTGGTCGAAAATAATCTTAAGTAAAAATAAAGTTATAGGGAATTTAGTAACATATACGACATATAATCCCCCAATCCAAACTTTGTATATCGTTGTGAAATGTTTCCTCTAAAAATGTAATCCCATGCATTTAAACCTATAGTATTAAAAACGCTATTCAAATACAATTTAGGTAGAGGTTGACCATGGTTGAAGAATCACATGACATCATTTCTATTTTCTTCAGTCTCGGACTTTCACCTGTCACAAATCGAACAGTCATTTAACATCTTTGCTAGTCCTGTTTAAGAATGCCGGACTCCACAATAACCGAGTCATCTGTGGAATAGCTGTATCTTCCCAGGCCACTACGTTTTGTAGCCCTGAAAGTGATCACAAAAACGGAACATAGATGAAGCGCAGCGGTAACGTCCACTCCAAAGAGTTTAAGGAGTATTGCAAGAAGTCATGTGTATATACAGTATATCCCTTACAAAACTGCTGTGAGGAGGATTCCCGAGTGGAAAGATGTTACAGTATGTAGCCACAATCATGGCTTTGAATTGCATCATCATCTGATTTTCTTGATGGCCTTCAGATCCTCATTCTAAGAATCATTCTTTTAGAGTCCTGGAGCACAGGCAGTCGTTCTGGCTCTGTTGGACATGTAATTTGCTGGAAGTGAATAGAACGTTCCTCTTCCTGGGTGGGTTAAGCCAATTTTTGTACACTGCAATGAAGAGAGCAGAAGTCCAAGCATGCCTGTG